TCGAAGGATAACTTTTCCAATCACATCAGATATTATGAAAGTCGGATTGGATGAGAAAGATGACAGAATAGCTGAATAAAACAAAAGTTGGTAAATCATAGTGAGATAATGTCCTCAGTCCTTAAGAATATGTCAAGTTTTCCCCTGAAGGACTCCTGGGAAGTAGCTTAGACTAGCCCAACCGGCAGTGAATTCCAACATTTGACTACTCTTAAGGAGTAGAAAGTGTGTCTGAAGTTCGTTCTGCTGTGTTGTGTCTCTAGTTTCCGGGTGTTACCCTTTAAGTTTGTGTTGGAACTGGCCTAGCTCTCGGAGATTGTTGATAAAATATATATAGTTTACTCTATTAAAAGCTTTGGAGAAGCCTAGACATATGACGTCCAACTTCCCCTTGCAATCATGGATGCTTCTCTGTCCACGGTGGTCAGCAGATTGGTTATACAAAAGTGACCTTTTCTGAAACTGTACTGTTGGGGTGAAAAGAGGTTTATGGATATTAAGTGGTCACGTAGACCGTCGCATATCAGAGAACATCACGCTAAGCGGTGTTGCTAAGATTGAAGCTGCTCATTTCTATATATCAGAATCACCCACATCACCAGCTAGAATAGAGAAAATGAATTTTTCTCTGTATCTTGGTGGCACAGAATGATCACGAATCTTTCTTAACTGAAATAGTCCTGATGCGTTGGCAAACTTTTCTGTGTTTATATTTCACTAGTGAATGCATTCCAAATGATTCAAATGGTTGTGGATAAAATATGAGAGTCTTTCATTTACAGAGCTTTCGTATCTAGTAGCATTCAATCAGGACCTAGTCACATTGAATAAGAGAAAGACAGATGTTGGGAAATTAAAATGAGATAATGTACAAATCCCTTGTGAATGTAGTAAATTTCCTCCTTAAACACTTCTGAAACCTGACTTCATCTCTTCCCCAGTGGCGAATTCCAAGACTTAACAGATCATAACGAATAGAAGACGAGAATTTATTACAGTTTGCTGTGTTTTACTTCTCATTTATGAGTGCTTTCCCATAAGACCATGTTGCAAATGAACGTACAAACGTATTTCAGATGTCCATGAGAGCTTAAGACACTGTAAGTCGTCAAAAGGTCGCCCCTGAGTTTGATTTATTGTAATGGATGAAGATCTAGAGATTGAAGGAGTTCTCCAGTGCTTAACATCCTCAGCAAAAGCTAGTACGTTGCGAGGAAATTAATTCAAACGGATTAATGGAGGTAAGGTCCTAATAATGAACCCTCTGAGAACACATCGATACATTTTATTGCCTGTGAAAGTGTGAAGCTTAGTCTTACGTTATAAAGACAATTACAAAGAAAAGATTCAAATCAGTCTTTCAATCCCGACTTGACGCCTATTGACTCAAGCCAAATTACAAGACTCATTGGATTGATTTTGTCAAGAGCCGCGATATATGACATCCACTTTACCAATGCGATTGAGGATCGTGGCTCATTTTCCATCACAGTCTGACGATTCATGACCCATGAGTACCCATCCCTGAAACGATACTGTCGTTGATAAAAGAAATTTTAGCTTTGTACACGGTCACTTAGGCCGCAGTAAATCAGAGGTTCCCTAACCTTTGAGTGTACTTAAACAGGAGCCTCTGCCCAGCAGATTGAAAGAACATTGCGTCGACATCCCACGAAGGTTGGTATGATATCTGTCTGCCACCACTTTTTTGGGACTACGCTCCGCTAAACAGTGGGAACAATACATTAGGACTTGGCGCTTAATCTGAAGCCCACTTCCTTAATGTGGTAGACTAAACTAAGGTTTTTGGATTAGAGAAAAACCTGTCAGTCAGCTTACCAGTGCCTATCTTCCAGGGGGTCACGCGAGTGGGCTACTCAACTCCGTGTCTGCAGTGTATGATATTCCGAAGCCCTGTCCGACTACCAGGTGCATTCTCATCTGCCACTCGAGCAATCATAAGTTTAAAAATTAGATGAGAAACCACTCGAGGACAAACTGAGTAGAAACACAACCAACCAAGCCCGGAGCGTTACGTCACTGCTCTCGTCAGATAAGCAGATACAAAAAACTGCACGGTTATATGAGCATAATATTCCACTTTCTCATAAGTGTCCGGTTTCAGTAAACATATTGGCAATCCGAGGGGGAACGGATGAGTTATGGGCACTTCGTGAGTAGATATTTATCAAAGCAGTATCCCACAAGGGATAATATTATAAGCAATCCAAAAGTTAGATTCATCAATTAACTCTGTCAAATCCCCCCTCGGGTTTGTGTGATTGTCTCTTCAAAACCACTGACGAGGGATTAAAACTGAATATCGGTGGGCGAAACCAACATTCCTATTCCCTAAAGTCAGCCGGAAACTAGGTTAATCTCTATGTTAAAGGTTCCCCTGATATATCAGTTAAAGCGTTATCGCTATATATATATCTGTAGTTGTTGGTAGAATAAGTCTGCTGTACTACGACAATACCCGTGTGTTCCAGGACACTATTTATCAACATAATATTCGCTTACTTGTAACGTTAACCTATTCCTTATGGTAAAAAGTATGATACACTCAGATATATTGTGTCTAACAGGACCGGTCTGCAAAGAAAATTTGTTTCGGATTAGTGGTTTCACTATATAATGGTCATAAACCTAGTTAGCCGCAGCATTAGCTCACTTCAAATGCTTCTGAGTACCTTTATTACTCTTCATCAAATACAGCCGAATGGTTTGATAGAATATTTGTCTGGTCAATGAGATATAGAGGATTTAGGTATGAAATTGGTTAGCTTATCGCGAACAAAGTATTAAATTTATGTGGAATACCCTGGGATTCTGAGGTTCACCTGAGCTTCAAAAGGAATTCACAACAGTGGAGGAACAGGAGGCAGACAATTGGTTAAAACTTGGCCTGTTGAAATATCACGTCATTAACATTCTGGCTCATTTTACACAAAGATTATACGTCCTCAATGGATTGTTTCATCAGAGCGAGATTTGGGCCTAGCAACCAAAGAGAGATTAGACACCAGCTCAAACTGCATTTAACATATAGTCAAGAAAGATGCAACTATTCACTTTATGCGAAAACAACTTGGATAAATCACTCCGGAACTTCCCTCGACATTGTCAAGAACAAACTCACAGCCTCACCTTGATGTCTAAAATGCTGTTGTGCCCAGTCTCTTCAAGATAGACGCAACTCTCGCAGATCAAGAATAGAGAAGAATAACTAAATGGGTGGTGTTGCTAAAAAATGAATCTTGAGAAGATAGACTACGACATGCGATTATTCCCTCTGAGCAAGAATAAGAAGTGATCTGACAATGTCAGGTGAAATATTGGGTACGTCAAGTCACCTCAACATGAGCATACAATTAAAATATACCTACCATGCTCTTCAAGGCAACCCTCAGATGATTGCAAATCAGAGAGAGCAAAACTCAGGTACTTCCCCACACCTTAGTGTCAGTTGACGTCGGTCACCAACAAACGGTACAGGACACCAAGTTCCCGCTAATGAGACACGTTGTACAAGCAGAAAACACATTGACTAGTCCAAAAACCAGAAGATAAACTGCTGTAGAGGAGCACCAGGTGATGTGAAAAACTGTCGAAATTCTCTTCAACAACGTAAGAAGACTAGTAGGTTGATTAGTAATGATCAATAGCATATGCTTGCAGTTGGACTTGAAGATCATAGTTCTAAATGACACATGGGTCTACCCTGACATCATGGATGCCGAAGCGAGCATTCAAGGAATGACACTTTTCCTATGTGATAGAGCCCAGAAAACGGGATGCTCAGTGGCGAAATACACTGACACCCAGTTCAATGCCCTCACAAAACATGTTACTAAATTATCCGAAATGACAGAATCATACTGCTTTTGCTTCTGCGTGAACGGCACAAAATATTTGGTCGTAAGACTACACTGGCACTTCACAGGTTCTGACGACCGAAAAGATGGGGTATTACAGATGACAACAAAACTATCAGCTTGAGACTTCAACACGCAGTCCCTAAATCTCAGCTAACAGGATAAAACCCTTAAGGGTGGTTACATAGGCGGCATGACACAGCCATTAGAATTTCAGCACTGACTGATCAGCTCATAGTTTAAGATATCCATGTTTACACAATAATGGGAGGTAGTGACCGCGATACAGTTATCTTTAACGTGAAGCACCTTACTGATGTCAAACCCCTCTAAGTAAGCAAGACGGTTTCACTGTAAGACCGTTCTCCAACCGACGAACCTGACAAAGAGGAACCCTATAAAGAGTGAGTACTAGCCATTATAGCTCGGCTGAGTCCCCAGGAAGGACAAGTTCGACCACAGCTTCAATGTAGCAGCAGTGGTCAGAACCCACAAATAACAACGAAACTGTCTGCAATTAGTGCAGTTGAGAGGGTAGACTACCACCCAGTGGACTTTACCGAGATGAAGAACGCAGACAAACCGGTCTCTTTATTTGAGCTCACGTTGAAGATATTGGATATAAAATTTACGGCAAAACCTGAGGGCGAGTTACCAGGCATGTCATCCGTACCAAATAGGTCGCAGTGTTTGTCCTATTGTTGCTCATCGAAAGACTCCCTGCCTCATAGCAAACTGCACGGAGACAAATCCTACGATCATCGAAATCCCCATGTTCTTTCACATTCATGTGACACTTCACTTGTTTAGTTAAACTTTATCATAGCAACCAGGAGTGTTAATTTAAGCAGCAACACTGTAACTAGTTTCAAACCTGCGAAAGGATAAACATTGTTTATCCTATTCTTCAATTTGCATATTAGTTGTGAATCTTATAGTGCTTCTAGCTAAAAATTGTAAGTAGATGATATGTTTTTACTTAGTCGTCTTATTGTAGCTTCCTCTAGTTTATTGTGCTCGTTAAGTGAAGTAACACCTAAATCTCGTGTTTAAACATTACAACCAAACGTAGTAACAACTATTCGTTGCGATTACACCGTGTGAACTTTAAAATTTGTTCAAATGAGCCTCGAAATAATTAACACTGTAGACAAACTGACGCTTTCAGATCAAATAGAACAAGAGAAAATAAGCTTGTAACATTTGTTTTTGAATAGTCACGTTTCAGAAATCTTCTCAGGCAGACAAACTGCAAACTAGAAGAATCCATCGACATTTTAGAGGATCAGTTGGCTTCAATTGAAGATGAAGGTAATTAAGAAGATTAATCCAAATCCGTTTAGATAATGAATGGAAGACGAGATATTTAATTCAGAAAGAGATGAATGACTACTACAAAAGGGCATTCTTCTTCTGCGATCAGCAAATACCGAAGGCGAAAGCACTTCAACGAACAAGTATACTTATTTTTTATGTCTATGCCACTTGAATTTTAAAGTAAACCGTGCTGTTAGGAGGGGCTCAAAATTATCTAGCTACATGGATCTTGACGAAGATTCGGTTCAAGAACTTGAGGATTATCGTACGTACATAATTAAATTATGTCGCGAGCTCGAATCGAGGATCGATCAGGAGGGAAAGGTGAGTATTATCGTGCAAAAGTACCAAATTGAAATGTCTCTGAATACTTCACTAGCGATTCCTTTTTATTCAGTTCAAAGGCATATTTATTCCCTCAATGATGATAAAAAGCATAAGGCACTCGCACTTTGTGACTGCTTCTCATCAGTTTCCTTATCAAGGGATTTTGATGAGTTTGACTTGAGATATCTGAGCGAAGAATAGTCCTTATTTTAAGTGCAATTTGGGAAGAAGTGACCGTAAGGTTGCTACGAGGAATGCTATAAAAACTGAGTTGAGGTAAACTAATGTTATTTCCATTGGTCAGGATGATGTTGTGTTTCCATAAATTTCAAAGAGACAGCAGTTGATGAAATCCAACGAATTGAGTGCTGGTTTTAGAGTAAACTGGAAAATCAAAACAGTAATTTGCGACCGTAATTTTACCCATACAAATTGATTCTCAACCAGTGATCAGGGTCAATCAAACTATATTTCAGGTAGGGAAACTGAAGAGTTGCTTCTTCACTAACTTTCAAATAGTTTTGGGTTTAGAAGAATCTGTAACAAAATTCACTTTGAAGGACATTTGGTTGCGTTGGTCTACAAGACGGCCCCAAACATTGGGAAGAAAGATTATATAAACTCACGGATAGTTATGCAAACCTACTTAGGGCTTTGTTCCATTGTAACCAACGTGTAGCTAAAAATGCTGTTTCGACTAGGAGGGACGAATTTTTCCAACAGTTTAGAAAATAATGATTTCACTCGGTTGTCAAGAGTTTGAATAATTTCTTTAACTCAAAATTTAATAACCACCGCAATGATTTCGCATTCGTTGTCTTTAAATCAATGGCCGGTAACAAATAGGTTAAATACCAATGTTTCTAAATGTAAATTTAAGTGGTTGAATCAACTAACATGTACAATGGTAATAAACAGAAACAAAGTACGGTAGAATAGAACAGACTAAAGTAAAAATAGTACTGGACTAATTTGAGAATAAGAAGTCTCAATAATTGTATTGGGTTTATATCAGTTTCGGGATTAGGATCACTAGGAATTGTAATAACGTGGAAATAACCCTAGTAATAAAATACATAGCAGTTGGATTATAATAAAATGAGTTCATGATTGTACTAGACAGGTTTAATCTGCACTATACTGAAATGAGTTCAAACTATTCAGAAAGTCAATTAGTCAACGCATCTCAAACATAAATAGATCAACAGAACAATGGAACTAGATGAACAAACAAATTTATCAGGATTAATCACCCAAGGCAATCAATACAATAGATTTAGCTTCCACTTGCTTGATCGGAGTATCCTGTTATGTGAACCATACATGTCTGTATTATTCACCAGAAGCGTGTTCCTAATAAATAAATAGTTCTGAAACATGAATCTGTTGACTAAGAAGAAAAGCAGCACTTAATCATGGTAAGAAATTTAAGTAGTGTATCATTTTTGTCAAACTACACTATCGTTTCTCTACCATAAGGCTTCCATCCATACGGTATGTCGTATATGGTATCTTTTTCTAGCGGTTGTCATATAAATGTCCTGTGATTTCTAACTGGCACAATTGTCCAACAACACTGTTTTAGCTGTATGCACCCAAACTCATCCAGGAAGTATGAAATTTAACCGTCACAGAAGAAAGCAGGCAACCAAAAGTAACCTGATGATTATTGCTCATACTTAGATTTCTTGTAAAAGAAATTTTATTGAGAGATGGACATCTCAGATATTTCATAGGTGAGATAAGATCGCTGAACGAAGGTTTTTGTATACGTTTCAACCACATCAAGTTGAATAGCAGATTCCACAGACATATGGAAAAATGTGTTTACTGTCCATGAACTCTGAAATCAGCAGATGCTGTATTTTTAAGAAGTTATGTGTCTCGTTGCATATTTTTTCACCTTCGAGTGAGAAAGTATAGAAACGAATCCTCGCCGTAAAACAACTACTAGATGACGCCTACTGAGTTTCATTACAGACAGCCATTAACACCATGATATACCTTCTATTTATTTTATAAAATAGAGTGATTTATGTTCGACTTATATTAATCAGTGAATAACAGCAACCCGCAATGCTACAAACGTCTGTTACCACTTGAGAGTAATTTGAGTGACCCTGAAATGACCAATTAGAGTCTAGTTTTCTGAAGTTTACTTATACTGAGTCACTGGACTGAAGGTTGTAAAGTACTCTTGATAAATAATAGCAAGACGAAGACCAAAGGGTACCATGTTTGTTGATTGTGCACCAAATGTTCTACACAGAAACAATCCTGCCAATGTTAACATGGTATGGATGACTAAAAAAATAGAGTCAATACACAACTTATATGTAAGCACCTTTATCACAATAAGGAAATGATGTAAAATTGACAACGAAGGAAGTGGTAGATAATTGAGGGGTAGAATCTATAACCTAGAAGACAATGTGATTTCACAGAATCGTACTAAAACTCAGTGACTGGCTGTTGTTATTTGCTTGACATACTTCTTTAGAGTCAAGAAACGAAAAACGACCATGTAAAGTTTTATCAAGTTTTTCGAATCTCAGATAAAATATAACCACGTCATTACTCACTCAAGGAATGAAATGAGTACACTCACAAACCTACCGATTACTTCAAATATTTTCCTATCAAATATTAAACTGGTGATAGTGAACTACAGAGTCAAGATTTAACAAATATTTTGAATAACAACGGTGTACTAACCAGCGAAGAACAAACTCAATATTGTTGTGAGAAAACGAACACTACTATTTTCTGACTGTAGAAAATATGTAGTTATAAAAATAAATAGGATTAAAATATACCAATTTTCAAGTATTAGAGCCAATGAAAACAAATAAGAAACCCCTAACTCGACAAACCGCTTAAATTCATAGCCAGGAAACTTATGATGGTATAATTTCCAAAGGTAACTTGAATTTACTTAATTTCTACTACGAATTCCGTAATACGGATGGATAACAACAATAGAGTTTGATTTGCTAACGTATTTTAGGCTTATTACTGGGCTACAGAAATTCGAAAACGCGCACTCATTGAATTAAACTATACATATATACCAGCACCAGTAAGTAAGCATCCTGTGGAGAAGAAAGAAGATGAAAGTGATAAACTAGTGAGGAAGACACAGTAGGTTTAGTTTTTGCTAAGATTAAGGTGAAGTGATATACATTTCACGGTATTTTTTCTGTTTCTATAAAAATATGATATTCTTGGAATTTATTATTCAATGAACTCATATTTGTGAATAAAATATTACTAGAAGCTTATCTGGAATAAAACATTTCTTGTCAACAATAACCTGAATGTGCTTTAACATAAGTAGATCACTTGAGAAAATTATATGTGCGTTTTCCTAAAAAGTATTACGCTCGTGTTGAAATGTTGACTTTTAATGAAAATTCGAGGTTTCATGGAATTCGGAAACCAAAATTTAAAAAAAACCAATAACCTAGTTTTCTCAAAATATCAGCAACGTAATTTGGAACATCACTGACAAATAAGCGTCAACATTTTTTCCATACAATGTCATTCAAAGCTTAAACGTTGTACGGGGGAACTTTGGCTATAACATAGAATTAGTTGGTGAATTCGGTTTTTAAATACATCAGAACCAATGAAGACAGCAGAGGAACATTTTTATACTAACCTTTCCAATGTTGCTATTGTCAGTGACAACTACACTCAATTGTATTATATCATTGAAGATCAATAAATTACAAACCCCACAAAAGCATGGCATGATTGAACTAGAGCCTCAGATTGTTGCGTAATAAGGTTATGTTGATCCTACCGGATATTTCACGTCCACATAGAGCACGCATGATGATTAATACAAAGTCTATGTTTACTAATGCTGAACAAACATATTAAATCATCAGTTCAGCAACACTAACTTAGATTTTGTGGGTAGGAAACGCATGTTGAGTGTTTTAACTTTTGGTAAATCTTAAAGATCAAGTATAAATGACTGTAAAACACTCGACCCAAGCTCCATAGTGAAAAATTTAGGGATCGGTGCTTAGAGACATTGGAAGAGATAACTGAAAATTCCTTAAGATTAGTCAGATTTACTCATTTCTTTACTTCTCATAGATTGTGAAGCGCTTAACCCATAGTAACCGATTTCCTACGTTAACTCGTGTCGTTTTATTTTGCTGAATGTCTGTACACTGTTAGAAAGTGCAATGATTTCAGTCAATAAACGATTGTGCAAAGATTTACGAGATTTCCTATACTTATCTTCTGTTGCGTAGCTGTACGTATCAACCCGAAGAGTCGGTCTATTTCTGAGAAAATAGCTCACCGAAACTTGGTGTTCCAGGTCTAAAACCATAACGTAGTAAACACAAGACTAGTATCGACATTAATAAAGGAGATTATGAAATACTGTGTCGATTAAAATAAGACTGCTAAGTGGTGATATACTTAGCTGTGTCAACAGTTTATGCAAGTAACAAGTGTATGCTAAAAACATAAAAAAAATGCATTTTCACTTACTTTATTCCTGCGATAAGTACGGAAAAATACTACGATTTCGCTTTATAATCGAAGTCTTTGAATGCCCACGAGAGTAAAAAGTGAAGCCAATGTATGTATTGAGAGCTCTAATGACTTCTACAGTTACACTTATTTACAAAAGTATATATGAAAACAGCATTAACCAACGGATATGGCAGTACCAATAACATATGCTCTCATTACACAACCGTAACTTTTATGACATCGTTCGAGTGAGATACACCTGATGAGCTGGTGGACACCAGATAATTTGGAATGCTCATTAAGAATTTTAAATAAGTATACGATGCGGTCAACTCTCACCGACTAGGTAGGAGTATATGTGTAGCTGTTAACTACCATATAGAATAAAATTGCAACTACAGGCAAAACAGTGAAACGGTATAATAGACTATACACTACTCAACTTTTAGTCTGAATTTTCCAAGGAAAAAACAGCAAAGCTGTCCCAATTATTATGGATATATTCAGGAGTTGCTTTAATTACGTCTACCAGTATATCATATCCAGCTTTCAGTTACACAACAACTCAGTTCGGTTAAATGGAACTATATCTGAGAGGCAAACATTATATATTGGAAAGCTGGAACTGTGCTTACAATTATAATACTGCCATTTAGTCACTCATTCAAAGACTATGTAAAGTACTAGAATGTGCAAAACAGTGTGTGGGAGTCAAGTATCTTAACTACCTAGACATATATATACATGATTACAAGTTACTTTGCTATATTTACAGAACACACGGCACACAGTTAATAATATATTATGTGATTTTGTAATGTTTTAAAACACATCTAATTAACCGTTGACAATTAATTTCTCTTTACGCAGAAATCGAACATTTAATTCTAAATATGGTCTAGGAAGTAAAACAAGTGGAGTGAAGAAACTGCCTCCAATGCATTTCTGACCGACATCGCTGAAAACATATATAAAACTGTGTATGTTCGATTAAGTAGAAGAAATTAAATAAATCTTTAGCTTTTTATTAAACCAAACATGATGTCTAAAACGAAAAATGAGTTGTCATTTACGTGTAATGAATGCCGAAAGTTGGCTGATAGTAATTACTGACTTTTACGATACACAACATACGCTGCAGATTTTGTCCGTTTGCAAGAATTATACAAATACAGAATCGAAGCACACAAATTCAACTTGGTAAAACAATTGTTTCTGCTGCAATTTTTAATAAATCTTTTGTTTTTAATCGCCAGTTCTTAGGATCTTTACTGATTTGGCACCATACTTCACCATGATGAGGTTCTGCAGTAACACAACGTCGGTATACTTCTTTCTGTTGATCCTAAACAAAATGAAATTAAGATAAAATCCCGAAGTTATTGATACTTTATCAACTATAGAACATTAATTATGTACATAATCATATCATATACTATAAGCTGTGCTTTGCGTCCTGGCTGAACTTATGGTGTTGATTAACAGAAAAAATTAATGCCTCGGTGTATAATTAGCCTTTAAGCTTATCAGACGAGTTGACATGATTAGTGCTAATCTGTTTGTAAACACAAAATCCAAACTAATTAAATGTGGTGTAACTCTAACATAGTCCAAATTTATCTACTCAGCTTTGAGTTATACCTTTTGCGTGAGGTATGGCGATACTATCAGGAGGAAGACGATGTAGGATTTTAACCTAAAACTTCATTCTTAAAGCTGAGTATTTCAATTACTAAGCACTTAATCTAGTTTATTGTTTATGTAAGTGTAATTACAAGACAGTATTAATAAAATATAGAAATACTTTTCAAACTCACTTCCGTCCCATGTTGTAATTCAAATTTGTAAAAGTAAGCCCATGCGTCGCCAAGATCTGGTTCTAGTTTCACTGTTCTTGTAAACCAATTACGAGCTTTCATGACCAGACGTTCACACCAAAACATTCTAAAATAGCAGAGTATAACAATCCTTAGAAAAAAAACAGTTTGTAATGGGGTCAAATATCGATCGAAGTTTATGAATTATTGACATCCTGTTCATATGAAAATAACTTTGATGGAGAGGCAAGCCACCCGATTACAATAATTTTTCCTCATCACTTCTTCAATTGTTTTTCTCTGTACAATCATTAAGTGTGATTGTTTTCCTCTGAGTTTTAACTACGACATGGTTATGAAACTGGAAACTACCGCTATTAGTGTGAATATGACAGGTTCAACAAATAGTTTCGTCCCATAAAAATGGAACAAATACCAATTGAAATAATTAATATTTTTTTCAAGAGATTTGTGTACATAAATGTTGATATACTGCGGGATTTGAAATTCAACTGAAGTGTTGCTCAAGGTCAAGCGAATAAACAGTTTAACTTTAAATTAATAATAAGCTTGATTTCTAAACGTTTCTGGACTGCTCTATGATTCACAGCAGTTTAAAATAGCTAGGAATCACTAGGCTTTCAATATTCCATGATACCTTAAGTTTCTATAGTAAGGACATAACTCAGTAACTTGAATTCACTGATAAATTATGGAATGCAGTAACGTCCTGTTATGCCTCCACATTCCCTGGTACGGCCGAGAGTAGGGAGAGTCCGCTCACCCTCTCGAAATGCTCTCACATGGCTACGCGTATATAGCTTCTGCCAGGGAAGTCCTACTCACTGCCTTCTCATGGAGGGGTGTTGTTTACGAAATTGACAGGACGAAAAGCGAATGTCCAGCGCTTTAACCCGGTTGGTGGGCACAGATAGTCCACCTAGGGGAGTCGGAAAACCCTGACTCCAAACCAATGGTGCACGTGAGCCCCAGTATCCTAAGTGAACAAACGGCGTATGAACCAGTCGTTGGTCAGCGGCTACCATGGGACTGCATCGCCATACGATGCTCCACCGCCTTGTGGATCATACCTTTAGGTCGAAGGCTTCGGGTGTGGCTCCCTAAGGAAACCACCTGCTTCGGTTTGGGCACCCGGGCAGTATCATAGCCCTTACACATATCAAATGAGATTTGTGTGGCGCATATGTATTTGGTGCTTCCTTGTACCAATATCTATATGTTCAAATAAAATAATAAAAACTATGTGGATTATACGATGGTTTTAGGTCGGGTTCTATACTAAACAGAAAAATATCAGTATATATATTTCACTTCATCCGAGATACGTTCAACGAGAACGTTAATCTCGACATCACCATACTCTAGGTTTCAACCAGTTCTTTAAACCCATAGGGGATTGTGGACAGCCTCCATGGATCTATGAACGAGAGTGTTATCTACCTTCATTTTTAAGTTATACGTACACATGCCGTTACATCTCAATTAATCATCAGATATAACTTTAAGTCAGTGGTTTCAGGAGAAGTGATGTTCTAGTACTTAACGACGAGTTGAAAACACCTAAGGTTATCCAAGTGAGACAAAAAGAAGTCAGAACTGAGGATAATGTTTTTCGTACCTAACACAAGTAATGAAAAATAAGATGGGATTGTCAAATGTAATTCAAAATGTATTTTTTATGATTACATTACTGATTATTAAAAAGCACTAACACTTTATTTGTAACAATTATATATGCACGAGAAATCTTTGAGTACTGTAAAAGTTAGTAATTCGAGTTTTGATTGTTTCATTTTCTCAGTTGGATCCAGCTCAGAGAAACTGCAAAAATTGTTAGCCTAAGCAACAAACCTCCACTATCTCAATAATTCAAATGCTGACTACTTTGTAAACTTAACAATGATGGGAGAGAGCTGATAAAATGCCATTATGATAATGATCAACACAGTTTAATCATACAACCCGAAAAAGAAAGGTAAAACGTTATGGAGAATACAATCTATCCCCAACATGTTCCGTACAGTTAGAGAAAAAGTAATACACTGAAAATTCTTCCTATTCAAACGAGTATATACGCTGAGGTTCAGTCTTTTAGTATACGAAGACACAGTAACTACAGACAAATAGTAACTCTTTAATGTGCATTTCAGTGTGGTAGATTTAGAGACAGACTACTTTTAAGAGGAACAACAATGTTAGACAGAAATTAAAACAGTGGCTGGAAGTGAGAATACATTTGGACTTGAAACTGTGTGGTTTAATAGAGAAAATAATTTAAAATGCGTGATATGCAACGAGTACCGTAGCAATACTACGATTTCAAATCAAAGGTGTGATATAATGAGGCCACAGCAACGAGAGGAAATTTATTTTCCAATTTAATTCTGATTCATCCCATCAAGCAAACTGTATGATTTCGACATAGAATACCGTATTTACACAATGGTAAATTCCAGACAAGTTTTCGCATTATGCCACTACTGATATAAGGGCTGTTAATGAAAATATTCAAGTTCTTTTATAGTTAGTGTGTCACGGACACTAAAAAACGTCATAGAATAGTCGAAGACAATAATTATCAGGATATCAGAAAAACCAACACCATTGATAAAATGACAGAAACTAAACTACCCTAGGGCTACAAGTAGTCTGAAAAATATTTAGTACAGAAACTAACTTGGATACAGCCAGAAGTACCAGTGGATCATGTTCACACTTCTTTAAAGCATCCACTGACTTGCTTTTACGCTGAGCTCTAGGAGTCATAAATATTGCCTCAGCCCATAAACAACCAGATGTTGGGCATTCTTGAAGTGCTTTTGAAAGAAGTGAATCAGCTACAGGTTTCAAATTAGCTCTTACTTCTAATCTGATAGCCTCCAACCTAATAAAATCAAAAATATTTCGAGCATTACATAACTAGTGAACACTCTAATACAGTATCAAGAAAGATGTCAATAAATTCAACTGAGCAGCATGATTTAAGTTTTTATGAAGGAGTGATTTCTATTAAGAAATTACTGAAAACGTAAAAAAGCTATAGTACCATCTAGCTCAAAAACCTGTCAAGGAATCCCCATAATCCGAAGTGAAATGATGGTTTTCATAACCAAATGGGTATCTAAGTATGAATTTAACTAATTAGCACTTTCTAAACTCATATAACTGAAATAAGTACATATTGAAGATTCAGGAAAAACTAAGAATTATTGACATGAAATACTACTGTAAGACTTAGATCGTAAAGTCTATATGTAGATGAATCCTTAACTTACTTAAACTTAATTAACTTAGTACACTTTATAAAGATGTTTATCACCTAAAATCCGGATGTTCATTTCGAAAAATTGATTGCTAGTTTGGTATTATAGTAGTTTTCGAGTTCCTTCCATTTGTCTTTTTGGTCTTCTTTGTTTGTGGTATATGTATGGCACCTTGGAACAAAACACTGTCATTGTACGGCATTTCTGTCTATCAGTATGTGAAAATATTGTGTACTATTTACACTTTAGGACTAGTGAATTGTCACTGAGTCCTAGCCAAATCGCTACGGCAGTTAGGTCACTGAATGTCGAACAGATCACCGGTCCTCGTCAAGGTCAGGAACAACCAACACGCATCAGCTAATCGCACATCGTGGACTGGTACATGAGGTGGTGGTCACACTTGCTTCCACTCACCTACTCTTACTAATATATCTCTGTAATAACGTCGTTTTTGTTGTACAATCATCAAAGCAGACAAAGTACCTGGATACGACAAAGAGGTAATTCACGTTAAGTACTAACCACAACGTTAGCTGGCCGCTAATCATTCGACACAGATCATTTACATTATTGACCTACAACACCTTACGAATGATGAAATGTATTTTATCTGTTCAGTGTTGTTCAGGTAAGAAAAACTTTTCTATGTTTAATTTGTGTTTTTCATCTACAAATTTGTACCTTCAAATCGTAAGATAATTCTTATTTACCTTTTTCGGATGCATGAAGGTAGGAATCGTAAGTTAGATAGCTTTTTGAAGAAATTAATACTAGCCGCTAGTAAAGAAACAAATATATGATCATCCAACCGGATTTTAGAAAATGAAGCCAGTTCTATAAAACTCTGGACTTAGAAGCATTTAAAAGTTAAGTAAATGGTATTTTTATAATTGAAGTCAACAAATAAATATATCAGATGGGATGTGTGGATATTGTAGTAATTTCAATGGTTAACATCATGAGTCAGTTGAAGCTAGACCACCATGGAAAACCTGGAAGCACTGGACGGCTGTTTCGTCCTATTGTGGGACTCCTCAGCAATGCACCACTGAGCCGGCATCCGACGGTCTTAATGTTTAACTTCAACTAATCCGGCTCAGTGGTCTAGTGGTCCTGGGTTCTCATCTCGCAGGGGGCGAGGTCGTGAATGCGCACTGCTGAGGAGTCCCACGATAGGACGAAACGGCCGTCCAGTGCTTCCAGGTTTCCCATGGTGGTCTAGCTTCGACTGACTCATGATCTTAACCATTGAAAATAAATATATAATAGAGTACTATGTTTAGAGGGCACAACTCCATGTTATGTAACAGTTAGAGGTAATACTGAATTACTTAAATCTGACTGGGCTTCGAATTTGAGAACAAATGGTCGTAAGTTGTCTATTAAGTTAACTGAATCATAAATGTAACCGAATTTTCGGATAAATATCGTTTGTAAAAATAATTAAATATGATGTAATTATTGTGAGGATTATTTGAGATTTGTGTTGGATGAATATTACTTACCACAGTTCTGGTGTTTTAGGATTTTGTGAACGGGCCTTCTCCAAAATGGAACGTGCTTTAGTTAAGTTACCTTGTCGTTCTTCAAATCTGGCCAACTGCAACCACAGGGCAGTATAATGTGGGTTATGATTCAGCTTTTTATGAAAAAGACGTGAAATAAATGTTAGAAATAGCAGTTACCATAACTTAGTACAATAGTTCTTATCGTATAGAAAGAAACATGTTCGCAATAACAGATAGAAGTATACAATAAAATTTTAACAACAATTTAGCTGTTACCAAAGAGAACTTTTGTTATGCTATCTTTTAATATTATGAAGTATCACTTGACGGAAAGGAAACAAACAAATATTTGGCAAACCTAATTATGAATTGATAATAAGCACTAGAATGTTGTCAGAAGTAGTAATGAAGCATGTTATTTGTTCACATAAAATTTAGCATATGGGTTAAAATTATAATCAAATGGATTGTGTTCACTTTATTTCCATATCCTAACGAATAGTTTCGAAATGACCAATATAATTTGTGATCAATTTATCAATTCCCAAATTGCCTCATTGATAAAGGAAACAGTTTACGGTATCGTCTTGATACATAATCTCCATTTGAAAAAAATTATTGAAACTGTCGCAAGATTGCCTAAAAATAAACTGGTGCTATAAAAGTTTCGGTGCGACATTCTTCACATTCTCGAGTTGATTGACATGCCGTGGACAGATGTTTGGAACTGATCCTAAGTGACAATTTTACAGATGATCCATTATGAAGGGATGCAAAGCGAAGCATTTAATCGAGGAAACAAAATCCTATGACAGATATGTAGATGATGCTCATATGCATTTCGAAAAATCTTATTCTAACATAGAATTCACGATACGACACGAACCAGATCACCTATTTAATATCCTAGATCTTGATTATCGATGAATTCAATTAGAACAGAGGATTTAAAAATAACAAATTCATGATGAAGCTACATGGAATGGAATTCCAGTAACGTTTGTAGTATAGGTTAGCAAAAGGAACATTTACAGGAGCTTTCGATGAAAAGCAGAAACGTAATTTTACACGAAACTATTTTTAGAGTAGTAAGAACACAATGGCGCACGAACATTGAACGAAACCAGTACTTACTCCTTCGCGATAGGTGTTTCTAGCACGTTCTTTTAATGATTCAACCTCATTCGGTTTTAAGCCTTCTTCTGACAACTGTTCATAAACTTGACTAAGCATTAACCACAGCTTTGGTGCCTGATTATATGTTGATGTAGCTTTTTCTAACATTTCTAAAGCTTTATTTAATTCACCTAAACACCATTCCAATCTAGCCGCTTTCATCCATACACGAGCTGTAGAAGCAGAAGCACAAGCTTTATCTAGTAAACGACGTGCACGTGCATATTCTTTATTTTCTGACTCAAGTTTTACAGCAGCTAACCATATCTCCTCTGAATTGGGATTAGCTTCAAATGCACGAGCTAGAATAGAACGAGCTGCTGGGACATCACCCTATGACGCAAACAGATAAAACAATTTGATTAGGCGGATGATAAAAAAGCATAAACCATAACATGGATACGGACAACAAAATTACAGGAAAATGTAAGGAGAACATTCACTTAGTATTAGTTGACTTTACCAGTATATTAAGGATCAAAGTCTTAAATAAAACATATATGTTATTAATTGTTTGTAAGAACTGTATTAATATGGATTGTCTTTGGTAACATATTAACGTTAGCCCATCTGGAAAAGTTGAATATACAAAGTGATAGTACAAGTATTCTTGTGTTCAATCAGTGTTCTGTTTGAATAACTGTTCATATGCCATAGAAACACTGTGTAAGCAATAGTGCGGTTCGACAAGATGTATTCGCAGTTACTAATATAACTCACAATGCAATTGTGAAGCACTGACTCAAACATGTTATACGAATGTCTTTCTAGGTGCTTCCGTGTCAGGAATGATTTATCGACATCAATACTTTTATATCCGAAGAATAAATAATTAGTAACGGCTAGGGTTTATTTGTGAACTATTATTACATATATTCTCATTGAATAATTATTAAGTAACTATATATATATATATATATATATATATATATATATATATATATATATATATATATATATATATATATATATATATATTCGTATTCTCTTTATCATAAGCTTTCATTTGGTTTATTGGCTGCCGTTTTACGATTTACCATTCCAAACTTATTCCCAATTTATTAGTTACAATATCACGTACTCACAGCCAATTTCGGCTTGATCATGTATAATTACTATTTATCATTTTATTGTGTGATACAGTCTGGTCTGCTTGTATATAAACCACGTGTGTCTGAAATAGACGATTCATACAACTGAGGCCGATATTTGCGTTCTGTACTGAACGGGCTAGGTTAGGTGAAAAGTTACTATACAGAAAACCAATGTCGAGGCAATCGGCATAGAATGGATATATGCCAAAGGGAGAATGATCGACTCCAGTCCTTAACACTAACGATGGGACAATTTAAACAACCATTACCAACAAACTATTCTTGTTTACTTATTTAAACATTAAAAGTTGAGAAACTAAAGATATTGTAATGTACGATTATGGTAAATTCGAATCTCCAAAATATAGGTTTCGACTGTCCACCCATTTACTGATATTATTACGGTCCTTTCGAACCAAATGATCAAGTATGTATGTGCATTAATTCTGCTCTTTAACTATGATTGCTTAATTTATCCAAAAAATCTAAATAACACTAGACTGGAACAAACTCATGCATTTAACTAGATTTAGATGAATTTCGGATCACTTGTTAAAAGTCAGGAAATAGAAAAACGATATCATACCAAATATATATCAGTTACGTTACAAATAGCACTCTTTATCATGTTACGTGGAATATACAGTCTATATAATTTTAACAACAGGCGATAAGCATGTTTGAAATCATCACACACCACGTAGTAAGGAAGATGTGGTATTACCAATGAAATCCAATCAGTAATTTTACTCTACATATCAGTTTTGTATAAGTTATCCATAATAACGAAACGATAGTGCAAATGATATCTTTTCATTAACTTGTTAATAAATATACTTACTGCAAGCCAGCGTGTCTTTGCTGCCATAAGCCAAAGCACTTCTGCTTGAGGACAATGACTAACAGCTTGACGCAAAAGTTCTTCTAAAGTTTCTCTGTTTAATAATTAGAGGTATGGTAAAAAATTTGTGCAGTAGATAGGGAAAAAACACTAACGATAATAATAATAATAATAATAATAATAATAATAATAGCAAACAATTAAAAATATGACTCAATGAACAAACACATGTATGTATACTAAAATTTATTTAGTAACCATAACCTGGTACTTGATTACCTAAACCAAAGTCGAGTGGACTAGATTCGAGTCTACAACTCTCTACACTGCTGATTTTTGTGTCCTAGTCATCACTTTTAACAGACGAGTGAGTTTCGACGAAAATAAGAGGTTAACAGTGGATATTTAAATCGAACTACAGAATAAGGAAACTCCATTCAAAAAAGTTATCAGACCATGATTCCGAAAGTGTTCCACATAAGCAACAACATTTTGAAGTAACAGGCTATGTATAAATCTACGATACTCAACCAAACACGAGTCATCGGACGTTGCAAATCTGCTAAATTGAGAGTAGCAGCTGTATCTGATAACTGCAAGAAATTCTTCGAGCTGACAACCTATGAGCGAGCATAATTTACTATACTACTTCCTTGCTGTTATTTTATTGGTTAACTAAAATCTCTTTTTATTGATTGATGTAATTATTATTTATTCGATCATATGTTCATACTTGTATTTAACATAGACTATTGACTTTACCATTACGAATGTACTTTGTAGCTGAAACTCCATTTTATTTACTGGAGGACCGCACACATATATAACCCTATATTCTGAGAAACTAGCACAATCTTCTAACTTTACTCCAGTTTGCGTGCGCATTCACAATAGTAGTACAACCATTCCAAATAATAAATACTCTTTAGCATGTAATACTGAAGTTCATTCTGACGAAATTAATCGCATAACCTCACTTACTTTCAGAGAAATATACCATTTACATAAAACAATTTGATTAGTAATATTAGAGACCATTTACCTTGTTCCATGATTTCGTTCAAAATAAGCAGCACGTAGCCAAATACTTTTCTTTGTAGGAAAATGAGCCAATGCTACAGCATAAATAGCACGAGCACATTCTATTGCGCCGCTAGTAGCACAATTCTCTGCATCTGACAACCATGTATGCTTTTTATCTTGTTCTTCTAAACCATATCCTATAATAGCTTTACTAAGATAATAGAATACATAAACATTTTTGTTTAAAAGGTAAGATATATAAAGTTGAAGTAGATTTTTTGCAAATACTTTTCTTAATTAGCAGGAAGCCCAGTACATTCCCTTGGAAATGTGCATTGATTATACTGAGTAACTATTTATTTTTCTCATATACTTAGATTTGCCACTCAGAAACCTAGTAAAATCCAATAGCACAGAGCTATCCAGGACATGAATAACTTCTTTCAAAACTAGATCAAGTATACACATAGGTCAAGGGGTAGTATCAAGGACTTGAATAACTTACTGTTGGCATCGATAACTGAAGCACTGAACAATTCAGGTATCCAATGTACATTAAAAATAAGGATGAATGATTGTGATTGTCACCTAAATTACGGGCATGAATCAGTTAATTATGATCATAGTGTCTACACCTAAACCTCTTTAATTTTAATCTCCAAACAAACCCCCAACTCCCATAGGTGGATCCTCCATATCCAACAACCCGGTTAAAACATGGCACATTCGCTTTTCGTTTTTTCAATTTCGTAAACAACACCCCTGCCGGGAGAAAGCAGTGAGTAGGACTTCCCTGGCAGTGTCTGTATACGTGTGGCCATGTGAGAGCATTTCAACAAAGTGGTCTCTCCCCACCCTAGGGAGTACCAGAGCATTTAAAGTCTATCGGGCGTTTTTTACGAAATCGAGAGAATGAAAAGCGTATGTCTGACTCTTCAATCGGGTTAGTGAGCACGGAGGATCCACTTAGGAGAGTTGAAAAACCCTTGTTCCAAAGTAATGGTGAACATGGGCTCCATGATCGAAAGTAAGAGAAAGGAGTATGAACCTATTCTCATTCACCGGTTACCATGGGACTGCATCTCCAAACGTTGCTCCACTGCCTTGTGGATGAAACCTTTGGGTCAAAGGTCCGAGGAAAAGGCTTCAAAAAAACCTCCTGCTTTGATCTGGACAGTAGGGTAGTATCCAAGCCCACACACAACTTCAGTGATTTGTGGGGGCATACATATTTTGATGGCCATCTGTAGGAATGTTTATGGGTTTAAATAAATAAATAGTATTAATAACTAATGTCTTACTTCAGTGACTGTCTAACGATCGGTTTGTTTATTACTCCCTAATAAGTAATGCTGAGCAAGTAATTAAGGAAATGAAGAATACTAAGTTCTTCACTGATGGTTGAAAAAGAAAATAAGATGATAACTTTTGATAAATAGGGTCCCCCTGAAAACGACAAAATTGAGCGAAGGTTAAGAACCAAAGCTGTAATTATTGATCTTAGACAAAAGTTAATATCTGTATTATCTCATTCACTTAACTAAGAATCACATGCTAATTCAAAACTAACGAATAACCATAACAAGATAGAGTTTACTAAGTTTGATAATTCAGGATTAAGGAAGCTAGTTGTGTATAAAAATCAATTAAAAAACCTACATTATAGCTTGAGCGGTAAGAACACTTTTAGCTTTTTCACATTCCTCTGCATCTTTAATCCACTGGTCACGATTAATTTCAACCATATTTGCTTGTAAAGATGCGACACCACGATCAACAATTTTCTGTACCATATTTTGGTTTCCTTGAGCCTCCTCTAAACGAGTAGCTGCAAACCAAATTTGTCTGTCTGTAGGAATGCTTTCGCGAGCTTTATTCAAAACAACTCTAGCTTGTTCATAAGTTTCCAGACGAGCTAATGCAAGCCATAATTCAACAGACGTTGGGCAACATTCAACAGCTAAAGATAACATTAGTCGGGCATCATCTTCATCCTCCAATTCAACTGCCAATTTCCACAACCTTACAGAGTTTGGGACTTGTTCTAATGCTGAATTGAAAATGTGAAGAAAAACAAATCCACCAATTTTAAAATGGCTGCTTATGAAAATTTCGCACAATGATTTAGTAAAACGAGTCCATAGCTGCTGTGTTCATGTAAAAAAAGCTAAAAGTGTGACCATTCTTTCATGAATCCCTTACATTTAAAAACTGTAACTTTGAATTCGAAAGAAACATGGAGCATGTAAGTGAAATTTACGATCTACGGTTAGTTTTTGAGCAATAACCATGAGCAGTTTTCGCGTTATTTCTTGTTTAGTAGAATGGTTAAAATACTATTTGTGCAATGTATTTGTCGCCGGTGAAAACGTATATGATTATCCAAATAGTTAGATAGGTTCTCGTGTATTATTCTTTTTATAACTGATAAACTTAACATTAAGCTACTTACATTATTTACTTACTACAAAGCTCCACAATTTCATATTTTTTAAATAAGGGGTTTTGTGGAAACTACGTGCACACTAAGAGCCATATTCCTTACGAACTGACAATAAATGGAGTACCACTTAAAATCAGGAAGTACTGAACAATCATTTGCCCTGGTTTGAGACTCCTTGCACGCTGGCAACCTTACAAAGATTAGAGCCTGAAACTTTCACGTATTATGGTAAGGACAACACCATTCGGGTACTGCGTTGAAATTCAATTGGACATAGTTTTAACTTTATTCCATTTTTGATATAACCGGATCTCCACCCGCCATCAGTGAGTTAGTGACATTATAGATAACGGCTTAACTGCTATATAATGTGGACTGTTGTATTATAACTTAGTGGCTAAACGGTAACACACAAACGGCAAGATCTGAACGTCCTCAGTGTTATACCGCATGATATCGTAATCGGATACGTCAAAGAAGTCTCGAACCATAATGTAACAACTATCAAGTCGTTTGGTTTTTCGTGATTCGCTAGCTGATAACAATTTCATGACGGGAGCCAGCCATATTTTTTTCAAATAATTGCAGCTATTTCCCCAGGAGTCAGTCAAACACAACGTAGAACCTGGAACATGCGTACACCGGCCCAAGTTATTACACGCCATTAGAACGGTGGAATGAAACTGTCAGGCCGAATCCCAGAATGGTAGATGTAATAACAGTATTAACAATGGTAGAAAAGGTTAGGCGTAGACGATATCATAAGAGAAAATATAGATTAGTGTGATGGTGAAAAAGCTCAATAGAGTAGTTTAGAAACTTAAAATCAAAGAGAAGACACCTGTGTCATTACGATCGATTCTGAGCCATTTTACACACAATCTTCAACCATTGGTTACAATATTCACGCAGACACCAACCACGTAGTCTGCACCTACCTACATGGGTCAACCAAACAGTTAGTATCTTCATGGGATGATGCCATATCTTGGTTTGGTCACTCCTAACTTTCTGCCGGTCACCATCCCGTATCGAAGTAGGCGTTGGATGGTCATACGTAATGCATATCCTAACCATCTGTTTCGATGTTTCACTACTTCATAAACGAATTTGCCATCCTTACCTAGTACTCTGGCTCTAACGTCAGAATTACCGACTCTTACTTACTTACTTACGCCTGTTACTCCCAATGGAGCATAGGCCGCCGACCAGCATTCTCCAACCCACTCTGTCCTGGGCCTTCTTTTCTAGTTCCATCCAATTCTTGTTCATTTTTCTCATGTCTATCTCCAGTTCTCGGCGTAATGTGTTCTTTGGTCTTCCTCTTTTCCTTTGACCTTCAGGATTCCATGTGAGGGCTTGTCTTGTGACGCAGTTCGGTGCTTTCCTCAATGTGTGTCCTATCCACTTCCAGCGCTTCTTCCTGATTTCTTCCTCCACTGGGATCTGGTTTGTTCTCTCCCACAGTGCGCTGTTGCTAATAGTGTCCGGCCAATGGATTTGAAGTATTTTGCGTAGACAACTGTTAATAAACACCTGTATTTTCTGGATGATGGCTTTTGTAGTTCTCCAAGTTTCTGCCCCATACAGTAGAACTGTCTTGACATTTGTATTGAAAATCCTGACCTTGGTGTTGGTTGACAGCTGCTTTGAGCTCCAGATGTTCTTCAGTTGTAAATATGCTGCTCTTGCTTTGCCGATCCGTGCTTTCACATCTGCATCAGATCCACCCTGTTCATCAATGATGCTGCCCAAATACGTAAAGGTTTTTACATCTTCCAAATCTTCTCCATCAATTGTGATTGGATTGGTGCATGCTGTGTTGTATCGGAGAATCCTGCTTTTCCCTTTGTGTATGTTGAGACCTACTGCTGCTGAGGCTGCTGCCACGCTGTTTGTCTTCTCCTGCATCTGTTGTTGCGTGTGGGATAAAAGGGCCAGATCGTCTGCGAAGTCTAAATCATCCAACTGCATCTTAGATGTCCATTGTATCCCGTGCTTCCCTTCAGACGTTGACGTCTTCATGATCCAGTCGATCACCAGGAGAAAGAGAAACGGTGAGAGTAAGCAACCTTGCCTAACACCGGTCTTCACTTTGAACGACTTTGTCAACTGTCCTCCATGCACGATTTTGCAGTGTAATCCATCATATGAGTTCTGTATGATATTGACTATCTTCTGGGGCACGCCGTAGTGTCGAAGACTCGGTGGTCCCAAAATATACGAACAATGGTCCGAGGACATCTATGGTAGGATACTAGGAACCTACAAATATTCTCTATTTTTAAAGTCCATTCTTCTCAGCCATAAAGTCTAAGAGAGTGGATTGGTGCTCAGCTTACTCATTTTTAGTTGGCAAATGGTTGTCTCGCCCAGGACACACGTGATGTAAGTAGGTAAAGTCCAACTGAGTTCGTGCTCAGACTTCGTCAGACACCAACATACTAGGGATGATGAGACTTCCAATATAAGTGAAGTGATCTACATGCCCAACTAATTCACGTCCTGTCATTAGTTCAAGGACTGAGAAATCAGTCCTAAGGCACCGTCAAAATGGACAGAAAATTCCGATTGCCGTGATGAATCCATTGACTATTTCCTCACCAAACAAACGCTGCTTTATGATTTAAACATCTATAGGATTGGATCCTGTATAACTTACCTCACTTTCAATAGGCGGGTAATCTTCTAGCATTTGTACAAGTGTAGCTCGAAGTCAAACATATAAAAGTGAAACTGACTACTGAATTTTATTATAGTTTAAAACAAAAGCTGTTTACAACAATCAAACATATGAAAACCTACCCTTTTTAAATACAACTTTTTTAGCTTTATGCTCTGTTTCTAAGTCGGCTGCTTTTACCCATAAGCGGACCGACTGAGGTAAATGACGTATAGCTTGAGCTACAACAGATTTTGCTTGTTCGGGTGGTACTAACCGTGCTGCTTCTAGCCAAATATCTTCTGATTTAGGGCATTCTTCACACCCACTAAGAATTAAGTTGCGCGCAACCTTTATTTCACAGAAAATTAAAGATGTTTATAAGCTATCCTGACAAAATAAAAGTTACCAGTACATAGTTTTAATCGCACAATCAAATAATGTAAAATTAATACGATGAGTTTAGAAAATCTCGCTTGTAAAGAAAAATAATATACTGATATAAATAATTATGTATGAATAAACTAGTTGTGTATGTATGTAAATAATATTAATACATAATCATTAACTAAGTGCTTAGTATGTCTGTAGTTTTGAACGCGATGTATTTATTAATTTTTTTTCAAAGTCGAATTTCGGCGGACAGACGTGTTTCAATATAAACTTACACATAATCAGTCATGAAACTATAGATATCGTGTGAACGAGTCTTATAGCTGTAGGATCAAGCGAGTTCATAAGGTAACTTGACCGAATTCAGCTACATTATGAGCTACATTTAATTTCAATTATTACCTACAATTAATGTAATGTAAGTTTCAGGTTTATTCTTGAAAGCATCTTCAGATAGTTGAGTATATAATCAAATAAAAATAAACTAATGACCTGAAATTAGTTTCAATTAAAAGCACACTTAAAAATTGAAATTATAAGGGGCTCCGCCTAGGGCCCCCTAGGGCTACTGTAGGTCCTAAGCTCGGATAAAGGAGGAGGGTCGGGCATGGAGTTGACGACCCCATTCCGTAGGAAACCAACCCGCTAAAGAAACGCTACCGAGAAAAAATAATTCAAACAATTTAAAATCTGCTCTGGGAGTTAGGTCTTCATTTAGAATAGTTATGATGCCTCATGATGAAAGCCGAGTTCCTTCGGAAGTCATAAGGCTGATGTCCCTTCCGACAACTAGAGCAACCATTTATTTAGGTACATGGAATGCTCGTACAATGTGGGAGACCGGGAGAGTCTTTCGAATTTCCGCAGAAATGAAGAAATACAACCTGGAGGTGCTTAGAATCAGTGAAACACATTGAACGCAAGTTGGACAACAACGACTAGCTTCAGGGGAGCTTCTGTTATACTTCGGCCATGAAGAAGAAAATGCCTCACATAGATAAGCAGTTGCATTGATGCTATCCAAACAAGCGCAAAATGCACTTATAGGATGGGAATCTCATGGACCAAGGATCATCAAAGCCTCCTTCAAAACAAAGAAAGAGGGCATTACAATGAACGTCATCCAATGCTATGCACCTACCTACGATTACAATGATGACGTTAAAGACCAATTCTATGAGAGGCTGCAGTCAACCGTTGAGAAATGTCCAACAAAGGACCTGATAATTCTGACGGAAGACCTGAATGCCACGGTTGGAATGGACATCATGGGACGACATGGACTAGGAGAAAGAAACGAAAATGGTGAGAGATTTGCAAACCTATGTGCCTTCAATAAACTGGTCATATGCGGCACTATATTCCCAAATAAACGCGTACATAAAGCCACATGGATTTCATTTGGTCACACTACACAGGGCCAAATCGACCATATCTGCATCAATAAAACGTTTAGGAAGATAATGGAGGATGTGAGAACCAAGAGAGGAGCTGATATAGCCTCAGATCGTCACGTGCTGGTCGCCAAGACGAAATTTAAGCTCAAGAAGCACTGAACAATGGGGCAGAAAACACCGCAAAAGTTTAATACAGACTTTCTTCGGGATACTAACAAACTCAACGAATTCAAGATAGCCATCAGCAATGTGCCAGAACTTTCACGAAATACGCAATTATGAGCAACTGGAAGGGGATCAAGGAGCCAATCACTTCAACATGTTATGAAGTTCTGGGCCGCAAGAAGCACCACCACATCACCATCACTGTTGATACACTGGATATGATTCAAGAAAGGAGGAACAAGAATGCAGAAAAAAGTGTCAGCCGAACAAGAGCAGAGAAAGCCAAGGCATAAGCTGAATACACACAAGTAAACAAGCAGGTGAAGAGGAGCATCAGGACCGACAAACGTAGATATGTGAAACATTTAGCGATGACGATGGAAAAGGATCCAAGAGAAGGAAACATGAGAATTGTATGATACAACAAAGGAACTCGCGGGATCTTGTCGTAAATTAGAACGACCAGTGAGAAGTAAGGGAGGCAAAGTAATCACCAACATTGAAGGTCGATGAAACAGGTGGGTAGAAAACATCAAAAAGCTCTTGAATCGACCAACCGTACTGAACCCACCCACAGACCTCCCAATCGATGTTGACCCACCAACCATTGAAGAGATCAGCATGACCATCAAGCAAACCAAGAGCGGCAAAGCAGCGGGACCAAACAACATCCCAGCAGAGGCACTGAAGGCGGATGTAGCAGTAACTGCAAAGACACTCCACATTTTTATTTATTTACTTATTTTAACAAACAGTTATTGGTACAAGGAGGCACCAAACACATATGCGCCACACAGATCTCATTTGATATGTATGAAGGCTGTGATACTGCCCGGGTGCCCAAACCGAAGAAGTTGAAGAACAAGTACCAACAAACTGGACAGGACACCTGATCAAGATAGCAAAGGGCGATCTCAGCAACTGTGATAACTACAGAGGCATTACTCCTCTCTCAACACCAGGAAATCTTCAACAGGGTATTGTTAAACAGAACGAAGGGCTCCGTCGATGCTCAACTTCGAGACCAACAGGCTGAATTCTGTAAGGATCGATCGTATACAGACCAAGTCACAACACTACGGATCATTGTGGAACAATCAACTGAATGGGATTCATCACTGTACATCAACTTCATTGACTACGAGAAAGCATTTGATAGCGTGAACAGGACAACATCATGGAGGCCTCTTCGACACTATGGAATGCCTGAGATAATTAACGTTAAACTGCAAAGTCGTGCATGGAAAACAGCTCTCAGACTCGTTCATGTAAAAACCGATATCAGGCGAGGTTGCTTACTCTCACCCTTTCTCTTTCTTTTAGTGATCGACTGGATCATGAAGACGTCAACATCTGAAGGGAAGCACGGGATACAGTGGACATCTAGGATGCAGTTGGACGATCTAGACTTCGCAGATTATCTGGCCCTTCTATCCCAAACGCAACAACAAATGCAGGAGAAGACGACCAGTATAGCAGCAGCCTCAGCAACAGTAGGTCTCAATATACACAAAGGGAAAAGCAATATTCTCCAACACAACACAATATACACCAATCCAATCACACTTGACGGAGAAGCTTTGGGAGGTGTAAAAACCTTTACATATCTGGGCAACATGATTGATGAAGACGGTGGATTTGATGCAGGCGTGAAGGCACGGATCGGAAAAGCAAGAGCAGCATATTTACAACTGAAGAACATCTGGAACTCAAAACAACTGTCAACCAACACCAAGGTCAGGACTTTCAATACAAATATCAAGACAGTTCTACTGTATGGGGCGGAAACCTGGAGAACTACGAAAGCCATCATCCAGAAGATACAGGTGTTTATTAACAGTTGTCTATGCAAAATATTTCGGATCCGTTGGCCGGACACTATTAGCAATGACCTACTATGGGAGAGAACAAACCAGATCCCAGTGGAGGAAGAAATCAGGAAGAAGCGCTGGAAGTGGATAGGACACACATTGAGGAAAGCACCCAACCACGTCACAAGAAAAGCCCCCACATGGAATCCTCAAGGCCAAAGGAGAAGAGGAAGACAAAAGGATATTTTACGCCGAGAAATGGAGATAGACATGAGAAAAATGGACAAGAATTGGGTGAAACTAGGAAAGAAGGCCCAGGACAGAGTGGGATGGAGAATGCTGGTTGGCGGCCTATGCTGCATCGGGAGTAACAGGCGTAAGTAAGTGCTGTAGGAACCGACTTTTTAAGTATTAGTTTTGTAGTAACAAACTCTGACTAAAACCTATGTATCTGAACTTCATCACGCTATTTATTTTACCATCCACTTTATTAAGCACGTAGGTCAAAACTCTATCTACTTTAGTGATCACATTGTGAGATTAGCCTATAGAAGTTCGTCAGCACCTATAACAAAACAATATGAAAATGGTTCTTTCTAGCTTGGGTCCAATGGGTTTCACTTATTTCGAGCACCGCCAAGTTGTATCACTTCATTTCTCCAGCTATTCGATTGGTTCTCCCGGTCTGTCACATTGTTTAGACATTCCATGTAAATATGTTAATTGTTGAGCTGGTTGTTGTAATGAATAGCAGTTGGGAACAGCTGGGCAGAAGAGCCCAGGACAGAGTTGCTTGAAGAAACCTGGTCAGCGTCATATGCTCCACGAAGGGTAACAGGCGTACGTAAGTAAGTAATGAAAATAGTTACTACATAATAGTCGATTGATAAAAATGTTTAGTGCTAAGTAAGATCGCTTGGGGACTAAACAGCTCAGTGATTGCATTTATATTTTTAATGTTGGATGAATTGGGCTCAAGCTCATGTGGTATCGTACAGAAGACTACATGAACATCAAACTGAAAACTGTCAGCAAATATATCTCAATTCTACAGCTTAATAAGTTTTCAGGTCAACTTGAATGTAATTGAGCGTCCATATTTTTTTATTAAATTCATTCTAACTAACGCTTCTTATCGGTATTTTTACTTGAAATAAACCAATGCTTCGTTAAAATACCTGTTATCTAGTTTAAAATATGGATCAAACACCTAGGTTTACAGAATGTAGTACAGATTGCTTTGATGTCAAGTTTCCTATAATGAACAATGTAATTTCGAGATTTCCAAAGACATTAGAGATGGCATCAGCAGCGACAATTTGAATGAAAGCTCTCGAAAATTGGAGAGGTGGTTTGGTGCTACAGGTTTGAACGCTGTTCCGTTTACTTTGTTTTGGGGAAACAAGTAGTATCAATAACCACATAAAAATCTCCCTTAAAATTGAATAAAAAAACTTATACTCGATTGATGGGTTATGTTATTCACGCAATCTAAGATGACAGAATATGAGGTAAAACGTGATCTGGTCAGTACACCATCTGATGAGTTACTGAAATTGTCCACTGACCAAGTCTCTATAGAATATACCACATTAATTACATTACAAAATGATACACTTAACAGGTTAAGTATATGGAAGTTTATAAAATGACTGAATATTAGATTGGTTTATGACTAAACTAACCTGGAGTTTACCAGCTATTTCTTCCAAACGAGCAGATGCAATCCAAGCAGGAGCATGTTTAGGATTAGTTTCGCGTACCGATTTTAATAAGAGTCGAGCTTTTTTCATGTCGTTTATATCACCACCATGTTGAGGAATCATAGACTGTAGATCAGTCAAATACCCTTTGGGATCAACAACAGTTTGTCCTGATACACTATCAGAAACCTAGTTACAAATGGATTGAAATAAGTTATAAGGCATCATAACAAGTAATCAGCATAGAGCCTAGCAAAAGTCTGTATCATTCTAAGTACCTATATCACATCACCACAGTGAAGGGAAATCAACAAAATGAAAAGCGATGAAGTCTAAGTAAAGGTAAGAAGGATCAAACATTGGAGAATACGGTTCGAAAAAGATCTGTATTCGAGAAACGGAAAACATGAAATAATATTGAAGTTTATGAACTAAGGTGAGACAAAGAGTGATTGTATCTAGGCCACTGTGACCGATTGTGAGCTACTTTATTTAACGTTTCAAACCACTGATTGCGATTATCGCGCAAACCCTAGCCAGATAGTCCTTACCTACCAATATTTCTTAGATCAACATTAAATGACTTCATGGACGAGTGACATGTTTTGGTTTAGTCACCTCTGGTTTTTTCCCAACTCCGACACCAGCTAACACTGGGTGGCGATGTAGTTGGTTACTAAGCATACGTAACACAACCCAAAAACACCAGTCACTCAAAACTCCCAGTCTCATCAACTGGTTTTCCCTATTCGCCTACTATCTGTCTATAATGGATTCAAAGCATTACTTAAGACTGTTAACCAATGTGTGCAAAGAACGAAGATCAAAGGAAAGTACAAAAACGATTCTTCGGTTTGGGCAACCGGGCAGTATCACAGCCTACACACAAATCAAGTGACTTATGTGGCGCATATGTATTCTGTGCCCTTTTGTACCAATATTTACGTGTTCAATCGAACAAATAAATAAAATTCCTAGTATATTTTTTATAAATTATTTCTATAAAGTATGCGACTATACGCAGACATACAGAAATTACGTAATATGTTTAAAAAACTAGTTGTGCTAGTTTCCTACCAGTGTAACGGCCGCAATAACCTTATTATTGGTGAAATAAATAAATGAATATGAGTACTTGCGAGTAAGCGCAACTGTTCTTGGTGTGTAAGGTTATGTGCTTTACGGAAAGATTGTACTTTTGTGTTCATTTTTGTGGAACTTATTTGTTGATATACCCAGCTAATGAACTCAGTGGCAAGTACTGTGCATTTCGGACTACATTATGGACTACACGGCTATAGTTTGGTATTACTGAAGATTTTAAAACAGATAAAGTTAAGAATGAAATGAAACTTTTTAGTAGATAATAGAAGGAAATGTACCTGTGTCAGCTTAATATCCATCAAAGAAGTACGCGCTTCACCAATTTTCTTCATATCAATATCCATTTGAGCTGCTTGTGAAGTAAACGGTGTAGTTAAGCCTCCTAAACTTTGTTCAATTACATCTACAGAAACATTGGTCTAAAACAGAAGAGTTGAAATAGAATTATAAGATGACTCACTTGACCATCAGACAAGCCTTTTGCAATTATGCTATCTGGGATCGGAGTAAAACGTTCATATCTAGGGTTTCTTTGCTTCCTATTTCGTGAATCGCCAACTTCCGGTAAAGCATTCCATTCACTTTCAGATACACTCGCTAAATCACGCTTCAAATCCATGAACTGCTGTTGAATCTTTGGTCTTTCACGACGATACTTTTCGATCTCTTCACGAAAACGTTTTTCTCTGTACTCCCGCCGTCGTTCATCCATCCTATCATCAATAGAAGCATAAATAGCATCTGCTTCTTGATCATCCTTCTCATAAGGATCTTTTGCACACAAACTACCACCATAGCCTGTAAACTAGATGCAAAATAATAAAAAAGATCCTGTTTAACCTAAAGACGGATACATATCATGAATATAGAGTATTAGGCTAATAGACAAGTTTCACCTAATGTCACACTAGTAAATAAACGTGTGGCTCAGAAACAGGTGGAATGGGAGTGTCGAATATACAATCTGTTAACATCTTACTATATCAAAAGTGTAATCACTTACATAATGGGTGAGTTTTATTTCACGGCATTATTTTGCACTTTTTACTACTGAGAATTAGTTGAATTGAGTCAAACACACTAGGTCGTCAACACCATTTTATCATTATTATACACCCAACTTTTTATTATTTATCACGAGAAGCTCATTATTTCTCGGGGACTGTGAAATTCTGAATGAGGGAAAACTTGAAAAAGTTCTGAATAAACGTGTACATTAATTTCTCTTTTATTCGACAAGTCGTTTAACTTTAAAGTTGACTTCGATAACTCCAAAAAAACATTCAGTGAAATCATTTATTGTACTGTAAACTACATAATTATTTCCTCACGAAATGCTCTCATATGGCTACGCGTATATAGCTTCTGCCAGGGAAGTCCTACTCACTGCCTTCTCGTGGAGGGGTGTTGTTTACGAAATTGACAGGACGAAAAGCGAATGTCCAGCGCTTTAACCCGGTTGGTGGGCACAGATAGTCCACCTAGGGGAGTCGGAAAACCCTGACTCCAAACCAATGGTGCACGTGAGCCCCAGTATCCTAAGTGAACAAACGGCGTATGAACCAGTCGTTGGTCACCGGCTACCATGGGACTGCATCGCCATACGATGCTCCACCGCCTTGTGGATCATACCTTTAGGTCGAAGGCTTCGGGTGTGGCTCCCTAAGGAAACCACCTGCTTCGGTTTGGGCACCCGGGCAGTATCATAGCCCTTACACATATGAGATTTGTGTGGCGCATATGTATTTGGTGCTTCCTTGTACCAGTATTTATGTGTTCAAATAAATAAATTTTTTTCTACGCAATTACTTCAGAAATATACAAATTTCATGAGTCGAAAAGTACAGAAAACAGTTGAGGGGATTTCAAATAAATAGAGGTGAAAGTGAAATAGGGTATAAGAATACAAACTAAATTTATTGGCTACAAAAAACACTTTTCTCCTGTGGAGTGCAGTTATAATGTAAAACTTGATAGTGCTTTATTTTCCGAAGCTTCAGCAAATGGAATGAATATAAATAATTAAACAGGATTAAAGACCGAGTGCCCAGGTCAATTAGCTGTAGAAAATGAAAGTGGGATTAATGTGAGACAGTGAAAAATAAGTTAGAAAGGACTAATTGATAAACACCGGTTAACGATATCTAGGAAGCCAGATTTTCAATGGGTATCGTTTGGTTTTACTTGTATCTTACTTTAACTAGCAAGCCTAGTACAAGTGTAGAGTTTTTGTTTACTCGATATTTCGAAGGAATTCAGCGTCTAACTCCTACCTTATAATAGTGATAATAAACATTCTCCTAAATTTCAATAACTCCTTAAAGCCAAACATCTCGAAGTTTTCAAAACTTGACATTTTCAACACCTACATTTCGACCAACAGAATAACTCATAAAATAGCATTATCAAACAATTATTTAATGCAAGTTACAACTGAATCATAAGCGGAGGCAAAATATTTGATATTTTCTGCTGCGTACAGATATTCATATAGCTACAAATTGTCTTTATGTTTCCTATGTATAGAAATAATAACGGAAACAACCATATGTAGAACATTACAAAAATTATTCCAAAACTATAACCGACAGTTCTTTACCTCATCATAATTTGAATCGTTTAGGTCCTCCTCTTCCTCTTCTTGTTCCTTTCGACGTTTAGATGGAGCGACATGTCGTTCATCTGAAACATCATTAGCTTCTCGGGCCGGACCAATATCAGATCTTGTAGTAAACGCTACAGCACCACGTCCTATACCAGCAGCATATCCCAAGGGTGCTGGGAGTCCAATAAACTCCTTTCGCTTTTTAGTCACTAGAGTTTGGACTGACATTTTCACCTAGTGTTCCAGTATCTGTCATAAAACATAAGAAGCTCGAATGTTTTACAATTTTAAATGTTACTGAAAGAAACCAGAATGGTGTGTCAAAAAATGTGGTTGGTCAGTGAGCGAAGTTGAACGTCCAGCTATACTAAATCAGACTGTTTTGTCTATAGAAGTGATTTTACTTTGATCTTACTAGTTTTTAACTGCTTGTACATCGTGTTTATAAAATCTCGTTAGATCAAATCTAGTTCTTAATTATTGGTCGGATAACTGATCAATTTATGTGCCACGTGATCTGGTATCGTGGTCCAGTATTAGATTCCTTCCATTGTCAAGAAACAACCAACTCTACTGTTAACAAGGTACATAGAAAAATTACGCAGACAAGTTTACTCGTATAATAGTAAGAAGGATAAAACTTGGTTACAATTAATTACTCAAACCATGTAGTACCAGGAAGGTGAAATAAGTTTATGTCTTCAACCCGAGTATTGTAACTCTTATCCGACTGAAGTGAATTGCATACTGGTGATAATTTCCTGACAAAAACCGTCCATATCTCGTATGGCAGCTCTTGAATGAATAGCTAAATTAGTTCGTTAGACAGTCGCAAACATAGCGGAAGAGAACGATGGATACGATGAGAACTCGAGAGGGGGACTTTGGAGGCTTTGTGTTTTAGGGTGGGTGATATAAATGCTAGACTTTCCTAGATAACAGAAGTGCATAATTCAAACAGAAGTGAGTTATTAGTATTTTACCACAAGTAATTGTTGCACCCTATTGACATGGAATCTAAATGATTACTGTCCATAACATTGCTGTCACTGATTATAAATAAAACACCCCGGTACTTTTTATATGCAAAGTGAGTTGTAAACGTACTTCTATACAGGAAGTTATGAATTTGCTCTCAAGTTTTCCTTAAATGTTAGGAATCTCTTAGCAAAGCATTCACTCATCTTATTCCTGTCTAAACTTCAAGTTTGTTTTGACTGGTCTTATTCGGACTAAGTTGATGTATAGTGTCCTGAGTGACTTTTGAAGCCGTTCTGGGAATATAATTTACATAATTCAATCCAGATAGGAACAACGAGAACTTTGAAAGCTGGGATATGTATATAGTTTAAGTTTGTTATATTTTTTACTAACATAAGAAAACGGGAACAGATAAAGGAAATATTTAGTTACTGAGAACTAAGGAAACGACAAAGAGACGGATGAAAGTGTAGAAACTAATGTATAAAATATTACTTTGAAAATTAACTAGAGATATATATACATTAGTCATGTCTTGTAATACTGAGACATTTGACGTATAATAGCACATACTGGGGAATGGCTTAAACCAGACTGGAGTTTTAGCGCCTCCTAAATGAAATACGTAAGGGGAAATAGTTCGTGGGAAATTCAACTACGGTGAAATATGAAAACAATTTAAACGTATAGGAGCAATAGAAAGGCAGTTAAGGGGGAACATTACTGTTTAATTAAAACCAAGAAATAAAGAAATTTTTTAGACCCTCGTCTACATACTAATGAGTTACATACATACTCAACAATTTTCAAGTCCAAATCTTTTCTACCATGTGCCGAATAGATACTGAAGTGACTAGACACGTAAAACATAGATGTTCAGTTACAGTATATAAGAATTTCTAAAAGAGAATCGACATACGTTAAGGGCACTATCGAAGCTGAGAGTCTCACGTAGCGTTCCTTACTGATCACAGCGCCTTCAAAGGCGTATACTCAATGCTGATTCAAGTGATTCCGAACGGAATAGAAGCTTTCGCTTAACGGGCTTCCGTATCTAGTAGCAGTTCTTCGCCGAAGCCTCCAATTAGGAAAGTAGGTATAATAACGATGGAAGAAGAAAAAGCAAAATGTTGGTAAATCATAGTGAGATAATGTCCTCAGTCCTTAAGAATATGTCAAGTTTTCCCCTGAAGGACTCCTGGGAAGTAGCTTAGACTAGCCCAACCGGCAGTGAATTCCAACATTTGACTACTCTTAAGGAGTAGAAAGTGTGTCTGAAGTTCGTTCTGCTGTGTTGTGTCTCTAGTTTCCGGGTGTTACCCTTTAAGTTTGTGTTGGAACTGGCCTAGCTCTCGGAGATTGTTGATAAAATATATATAGTTTACTCTATTAAAAGCTTTGGAGAAGCCTAGACATATGACGTCCAACTTCCCCTTGCAATCATGGATGCTTCTCTGTCCACGGTGGTCAGCAGATTGGTTATACAAAAGTGACCTTTTCTGAAACTGTACTGTTGGGGTGAAAAGAGGTTTATGGATATTAAGTGGTCACGTAGACCGTCGCATATCAGAGAACATCACGCTAAGCGGTGTTGCTAAGATTGAAGCTGCTCATTTCTATATATCAGAATCACCCACATCACCAGCTAGAATAGAGAAAATGAATTTTTCTCTGTATCTTGGTGGCACAGAATGATCACGAATCTTTCTTAACTGAAATAGTCCTGATGCGTTGGCAAACTTTTCTGTGTTTATATTTCACTAGTGAATGCATTCCAAATGATTCAAATGGTTGTGGATAAAATATGAGAGTCTTTCATTTACAGAGCTTTCGTATCTAGTAGCATTCAATCAGGACCTAGTCACATTGAATAAGAGAAAGACAGATGTTGGGAAATTAAAATGAGATAATGTACAAATCCCTTGTGAATGTAGTAAATTTCCTCCTTAAACACTTCTGAAACCTGACTTCATCTCTTCCCCAGTGGCGAATTCCAAGACTTAACAGATCATAACGAATAGAAGACGAGAATTTATTACAGTTTGCTGTGTTTTACTTCTCATTTATGAGTGCTTTCCCATAAGACCATGTTGCAAATGAACGTACAAACGTATTTCAGATGTCCATGAGAGCTTAAGACACTGTAAGTCGTCAAAAGGTCGCCCCTGAGTTTGATTTATTGTAATGGATGAAGATCTAGAGATTGAAGGAGTTCTCCAGTGCTTAACATCCTCAGCAAAAGCTAGTACGTTGCGAGGAAATTAATTCAAACGGATTAATGGAGGTAAGGTCCTAATAATGAACCCTCTGAGAACACATCGATACATTTTATTGCCTGTGAAAGTGTGAAGCTTAGTCTTACGTTATAAAGACAATTACAAAGAAAAGATTCAAATCAGTCTTTCAATCCCGACTTGACGCCTATTGACTCAAGCCAAATTACAAGACTCATTGGATTGATTTTGTCAAGAGCCGCGATATATGACATCCACTTTACCAATGCGATTGAGGATCGTGGCTCATTTTCCATCACAGTCTGACGATTCATGACCCATGAGTACCCATCCCTGAAACGATACTGTCGTTGATAAAAGAAATTTTAGCTTTGTACACGGTCACTTAGGCCGCAGTAAATCAGAGGTTCCCTAACCTTTGAGTGTACTTAAACAGGAGCCTCTGCCCAGCAGATTGAAAGAACATTGCGTCGACATCCCACGAAGGTTGGTATGATATCTGTCTGCCACCACTTTTTTGGGACTACGCTCCGCTAAACAGTGGGAACAATACATTAGGAATTGGCGTTTAATCTGAAGCCCACTTCCTTAATGTGGTAGACTAAACTAAGGTTTTTGGATTAGAGAAAAACCTGTCAGTCAGCTTACCAGTGCCTATCTTCCAGGGGGTCACGCGAGTGGGCTACTCAACTCCGTGTCTGCAGTGTATGATATTCCGAAGCCCTGTCCGACTACCAGGTGCATTCTCATCTGCCACTCGAGCAATCATAAGTTTAAAAATTAGATGAGAAACCACTCGAGGACAAACTGAGTAGAAACACAACCAACCAAGCCCGGAGCGTTACGTCACTGCTCTCGTCAGATAAGCAGATACAAAAAACTGCACGGTTATATGAGCATAATATTCCACTTTCTCATAAGTGTCCGGTTTCAGTAAACATATTGGCAATCCGAGGGGGAACGGATGAGTTATGGGCACTTCGTGAGTAGATATTTATCAAAGCAGTATCCCACAAGGGATAATATTATAAGCAATCCAAAAGTTAGATTCATCAATTAACTCTGTCAAATCCCCCCTCGGGTTTGTGTGATTGTCTCTTCAAAACCACTGACGAGGGATTAAAACTGAATATCGGTGGGCGAAACCAACATTCCTATTCCCTAAAGTCAGCCGGAAACTAGGTTAATCTCTATGTTAAAGGTTCCCCTGATATATCAGTTAAAGCGTTATCGCTATATATATATCTGTAGTTGTTGGTAGAATAAGTCTGCTGTACTACGACAATACCCGTGTGTTCCAGGACACTATTTATCAACATAATATTCGCTTACTTGTAACGTTAACCTATTCCTTATGGTAAAAAGTATGATACACTCAGATATATTGTGTCTAACAGGACCGGTCTGCATAGAAAATTTGTTTCGGATTAGTGGTTTCACTATATAATGGTCATAAACCTAGTTAGCCGCAGCATTAGCTCACTTCAAATGCTTCTGAGTACCTTTATTACTCTTCATCAAATACAGCCGAATGGTTTGATAGAATATTTGTCTGGTCAATGAGATATAGAGGATTTAGGTATGAAATTGGTTAGCTTATCGCGAACAAAGTATTAAATTTATGTGGAATACCCTGGGATTCTGAGGTTCACCTGAGCTTCAAAAGGAATTCACAACAGTGGAGGAACAGGAGGCAGACAATTGGTTAAAACTTGGCCTGTTGAAATATCACGTCATTAACATTCTGGCTCATTTTACACAAAGATTATACGTCCTCAATGGATTGTTTCATCAGAGCGAGATTTGGGCCTAGCAACCAAAGAGAGATTAGACACCAGCTCAAACTGCATTTAACATATAGTCAAGAAAGATGCAACTATTCACTTTATGCGAAAACAACTTGGATAAATCACTCCGGAACTTCCCTCGACATTGTCAAGAACAAACTCACAGCCTCACCTTGATGTCTAAAATGCTGTTGTGCCCAGTCTCTTCAAGATAGACGCAACTCTCGCAGATCAAGAATAGAGAAGAATAACTAAATGGGTGGTGTTGCTAAAAAATGAATCTTGAGAAGATAGACTACGACATGCGATTATTCCCTCTGAGCAAGAATAAGAAGTGATCTGACAATGTCAGGTGAAATATTGGGTACGTCAAGTCACCTCAACATGAGCATACAATTAAAATATACCTACCATGCTCTTCAAGGCAACCCTCAGATGATTGCAAATCAGAGAGAGCAAAACTCAGGTACTTCCCCACACCTTAGTGTCAGTTGACGTCGGTCACCAACAAACGGTACAGGACACCAAGTTCCCGCTAATGAGACACGTTGTACAAGCAGAAAACACATTGACTAGTCCAAAAACCAGAAGATAAACTGCTGTAAAGGAGCACCAGGTGATGTGACAAACTGTCGAAATTCTCTTCAACAACGTAAGAAGACTAGTAGGTTGATTAGTAATGATCAATAGCATGTGCTTTCAGTTGGATCTGGTTCTAGTTTCGCTGTTCTTGTAAACCAATCCCGAGCTTTCATGACCAGTCGTTCACACTTTATCATTCTAAAATAGAAGTGTATAACAATTCTTAGGAAAAAATCTAGGTTTATTAATGGGGTCAAATATCGATCAAAGTTTATGAATTATTGACATCCTATTCACATGAAAATAACTTTGATGGATAGGCGAGCCACCCGATTACAACAATTTGTCCTCGTCACTTCTACAATTGTTTTTCTCTGTACAATCGTTAAGTGTGATTGTTTTCCTCTGAGTTTTAACTACGACATGGTTATGAAACTGGAAACTGCCGTTGGCTCCAAAACGTATATTAATTTTTTCCAAGATACATGAGGATGTAGTTCCTGACTGGGTTGTGCAGCATAATAAATCCACTACTATCCGTAACACCACACATACTATCAGAAGTTTACCACCACATACTATGTCTCAACCGCGGTAAAACCGCTCATTAATTAGCAGTTAATCGGTATAGATGACATTTTACTGGTTAATAATTGCTTCCACTTGGAATCCCTTTTCTAGCTCAAATAACTGCCTCTTCCTCAGTGGAAGTACTTACGAAAAGACTCTGCAAACGTGTACTCATTTATAAATTACGGTCTACCGCTTCGGCCGGCCGTCTGATGTATGTCTCATAATCTGCCACGGTTTTCTCTACCGCATATCAGTAACTACTCTTTATTATGCCTATTATCATCCCCGTTTCTGTTCTTATTTTTTCTATCCGGCGTTCTCACAGTCGGCATTGCCAACCAAACTGATGATGTCACAGGTATTCAGTGTTTGACAACGCTTCTACCAGTAACACCTTCTGATATATTTCGTTCCCGCCCAGAGAAATCAAAAGACGGAGTCGAGGAGATCGGAAGAGTATATTTGGCGATGACCAATATATCGGAATTCTCTGATCTAATCTGGCTAGCGATTGCGGTTGATGTTGAGCACGGCGTTACCACACGTGATCTGGTGCGGATGCCTGACCGAGCGCCTTCAGCTAAATGAGTCCACTGAAACATATGGTCAGCATCCAATGTCGAAAACCTAGTGCTATATATTTTGGGGATTTATTTACCGCTACAAAACTATTCATTTATTTCTTGAAATGGTTGTCTTCCCTTAGCACCAGAGTCATCTTTTTATAGGCGTTCATCTTAGAACTAATCAACCCCGTTCCTAGTAATGTGGGTGCTGTCAGTGTTCGTAAACCCTACTGCACTGAGACAAATGTATTCGAATTTTGAGACATAAAAATCCATAACTGTCAGAGTGACTGGAATAAGTGCAGTCAAGTGGTTAAACTAGTACTTATTGGAAATAATTAGGGATTTGTAATCGTACCGAAACAACAAGTAGTGAGCCAAAAGAAATCGATCGGTCTATGAGAGCTCGTGTCTAATATTGATTATCGGATCGTGAGATGCCAGATTTTTTGCTAAATATCGAACAGATATTTTACTCCATGATCTAGATTTGAAGCAAAACACTATTCAATTCTAACATTTCTACAAAATATGTGAAAGTGAAAGTATTTGTTTCAGTGATCTGCAGGCTGATTGGCAATCTCAAGGTCTCTTATTGTCACTCTGGTGTATCATTCAAATCTACCGACTAACTATCGTCTTCGGGTTTGTGAGTTTTAGAGTACATATTCACTATGAAGTCACTGAAAAGCCAATATTTAAAAGTTCTTATAAATTTCAGACATTTTTTTACATTGTTTTGACGTTATAATTTCTCAATTTGTTCTAAGCGTATTGATTAACGTTCTCATGACAGCGGTTTCCAAAACGACCTACGAATATAATATCTTCAATTTATATTTACTTTCATCATATCATCGCAGCTGTTTTAACTGCCTAAACCTGGAGATTTGTGCAAAATAACAGCGTGGCGCGAACGCAAATAACAGCTGCTAGAACAACTGAAGTGACAATTGTCACATAATTGTAGGTTAACAAAGCAGAAAGATAATTGGGACAGGTTTATGCTGATGTTCAAAAACACCATGTGATTTTGAGAATAATCCCGTGTTAATAATTACTTAAATAGGATAAAATCACTGGATGACTAAAATCTCATGTTTATTTTTCGATTTCCATTAAGCTTTCCCGTGTCAAAAGAGATTAATTGCTCAACGGTCATGAATGCGAAGCATTTCATAAAGGATACATAAGCAGAAAACTATGGTGAAATATGGGCAAACCGGAAAAGAATATAGGGGAAAGACTATTATATTTTATCTTAGCTTAAGGTTCTTAGGACTCGAGTATAAGTTGGACGTTATACCCAATAAAAAGTTATAATAAAGGATGGTTACAAAGAATTGTATAAGGAAACAGAATTTCTACTTCATATATGTATATATATATTTGTAGTTGAACTTTTTATTCACTATTCGCATTACGTGTTTTTGTAGTACTGTCGTGTATGGACGACCTTTAAGTGACTCTGAAGTGACCTTGAAGTAACTCACTGACTTACTAGGGTGCAAAGCGGTTTATAAATTAATGTAAGGAATAGGAATGTAAAGACTAATACTTGGAGTTAGAATTTAAGGTTATGAATTGATATGATGGTTTTCATCACTTACTAGCATCAATCATAATGCCAAAATGCTGTTCAGTCGTATGAATGGATGATTTTTCTCCACAATTCAGAACTTGGCATCTTTAATTTAATTTGTACGTCCATAGAGTATCGGATTCCTAGTGGACTCTTGAAATCTTTAGGTATCTATGTACAATTTAACAGATGATTTGTCACGGTAAACAAATCCCCAAAATAAATAGTTTTGTAAGTCTTCAACACGGATGCTGATTCAATTAGCTTTACTAGACACACCTAGCTGAAGGCACTCGGTCACTTATCCGCACCAGATTACGAATGGGTACGCTACGCTACGCGTCCCTTGAAACTGTTATTCAGCCTAGGCTAGACGCTTGTCGATGTTGATGGTCTTCTTAATATATGAACCTCTTCATTTCTGACTTCTGACTGGGTAGGTATACTTTGATTATGAAGGTGTTACGTGTAAAGCCGTTGTCAAACACCAAATATCTGTGGCATATTTAGGTTTCATTATTCTTCTATTTAGCTAAAGCCCGGATTCTGAAGGGAAATAAACAGCTGGTAACACTAGCTTCTCTGCCTGTTTATTCTATAATATGTAGTTATCTATATAAGCTCGTCCTTATTAGCTTCCTATTATCAATTAGCCTAACTATATTAAATATTCTCTCCATATCCTACCAGTCATTTGTGCATAACTAATTTGGGAATGGATTTCCCGAAGTTCCGATGACAATCTTTGATGTATATAGTTCATTAAATCAAGAGTAAACAGTAACTTATTCAGAACATTATGTGATAACCACTCTGTGACTCAAATCAACCACATTTGTAGAGTTAACTATAGTATTCTTGTTGTAAAACCTGGAGGTTAAATGTACAACCCCATGTGGTCACATAGGTCCATTAACGAAGGGTCTTAAACTAGGGTAATAGCTACCCAGTGCTGTCTAATTTACATTCGTATTTTAGCTGTTACCAATCCGTGATACAAAGCATTCTCAAGCTACATAAATGTCTCAGATATCTATTGGATATAGATGATCTTGTTCTGACAACTGTTTCCGAGAAAAATTTTCTGACTACATATTAGTTTCAAAGGTAACAAGTTTCTACCAGAAAACTGTTGTCTGAAAGCAAGTAACCACTTCTATACACATTTACTACTTTGTTATGGAACATAAAGGTTTCTAAAAATAGCTATTTCACTGCATTGTTTTACTTTAGGTTTTCTAATAAACTCGTCTACATTACAATTTTACCATCATTTCTCTGAGTAAGTTTATTGACTGATTGTCATAGTAATGGTTGTTTTAAGATCAACTAGTTTCATTTGATGATTATCCGGTCCACATATAGGTACATTCAACTATTGATTAACTTCACTGCCGTATGGACGTTACTATTTTGTGGTTCATTGGTTTCTTAGCTGTTTTACGGATTCATTGCCGTGTTTTTAACCATGAAACACTCATCATGATAAACTCTGTCATGTTTTAATTACCACTCTGGACCAAATAAGAGGATTACATAAATCATGTAGGTAACCCTTTTGGCGTACAAACGTATTGTCAATCGTGAACATATCTAGGTGTCCAAAGTAACTATTACTTCTTTCTCATAATTTCTATTGACCGTAATTTTCGTCCTCAGGTTTTGCTATACGAAGATCTCAAGAGTTGGATTATTTCACTGCTACATTTAAACCGCTTCACACCTGAAGATCCTCCCCTAAAACCACAGTCCTGTATTACAGTTAATATATCTGACAATAAATTTTATCATAGGGTGGCTCAAACTTTATTTTATTGCAATGTGAATTAAATAAGACGAAATGTCTATACGTATGCTACCATGTGTACTGTGTACTGGCACTTTTCAAGATAATGTTTTTGATATCGTATTTTCTATTTCAATCACTAGAAGTTTTATTCTGAAATTTTAGGTACAGGTAAACAGCCAGTTTTTATGTATTTTAAAGTACAAACGAGTGACTGTGTTTCGTGATTTAGAATGTTTATGGTTGCTAGATAGGAATTTTATTATCTAGTCACCCCTACAGATGGTGGTGTCACACCGATTCCCTGTCTTCTCGCCTGGAATGAAAAAGACCCTACCTATGGGGTGGATTAGTGATACTAGCTCTCCTCTTTTATGCGTCATTAAAATGCGTACTCCATAAGATTTACTTGTTCCACATATACGAGATTAATACCTGTTAACTATTGTGTTATAACATCGTTAGAAACATGTTATCACTACTTACCCTTTACTCAACAATGCACACTAAATTGAAATATGTTGCAGTATTTCACAAACCTCTTACCTTATACCTATATCCCCATTCGTGGTGATTATACCTATAATTATATGGTAAGATTAAATATTTCGTTAGGATTCTTGTGAAGTAATAATAACTTACTGGTCAGTTAACTAATGGCTAAAATAACAATTGTTTTGATTCACTGTACATTATCTGTATGAATTTTTAACTTTGACTCAGTTAGGCAGTCCAGTTCTCTGTTTCATGATCACAAAGATAACTGTGCATTGGCTGTTGGGACCAACCTAACTAAATAGCTTAGCTGTTCAAACGTCATGGTTTGCTCACAGTTTCAAGTCAGTGATTACCATCATCTCAAAACGTCATGGGTAACTAGTTCAGGTGTATTTATGTTCTTCAAACTACTACTCAGTGATTTTTAAGTGTTTCAGACACAACTGATCCAGACTAATAATCGTATAAACAGAATCTATTGCCCTAATTGAACGTTATTCGGCTGTTTTCTCCGGTCAGCTGCACTTAGTACCACCGGTACAATAATAATCAAATATTTAGAGACTTTTGTTGTCGATTTCCGACAATTGTATTCCAATCGTATGCGGAAACTATGTACATAGTTTCACTATATATCGGTCTATTATTGGGTTATTGGTTGAAACTTATCGCTGGCTAGATAAACATAGATAAATGATCGGATCTGGGTTTCGCGCCTTACAAATACAACCGGAATGCCTATATGGAAGGACGTGTTATTATAATAGGTGGATTTGAGAAGTAGCTCTATCAAGCCGTGGATACGTCTGAGAGTCTAACCTATTTGGCGGGACATTAGTTTCAAAACGACATTTGTGTACCACCAAAGTCCTATAACTGAACTTTGTCACTAAGATACAATATTACATTAGCCATTAAGTCGCTTAGTTACCGTTTGCTACCAACCGTCCAAGATGCATAAACAAGAGTTTTAAGTCCTTGTTTTTCCGTTAATTCGAACGTTTGTCACATCGCATCACTTGGTATCTTTCTACCCACTATGTTGAACATAACTGGAAATTCTGTTAGTTTACTTATACAGTCTAGGATAGTCTGAAAGAAACAGCTTTATAAATAGCGTTTTCTTGCATCGTTCTAATCCCATTCACTGATAAAAAAGGACTTATTGACACTACTCTTACTATGTTCACCAAAATTATCTGTTATTTATGGTAGTCGAATGCTGTATTGCTAGCGTCGCCAGTAGTATGTAATTTTCAACTATGGTTTGATTATAGGTCTGAATGTTATACACTGTGTTTTGCCTTTTGATGATAAAATTTCTTATGATCGAATAAATATAACATAGGGATAGTGTTTGTGTTGGCTTATTAGGTTGCCAGTTAGTCATATAAACATCCGAAATAATTTCCTTCCCTTATGTAAATTTCTTTTTATGAACTTCTTTGTATATTGCCGTCTATAGTGACAACTTAGTTCGATAAAAGTTTACAGCGTTTAGCTAATCAGGTATTTGATGGGTATTTACCTATCCTTCTAAAGCTGTTTTTTACGAGTTTTTGTTAGGATGTTTTCGAAACTGGTATCCTCATTTCTTCACCTAAGTAATAAATCTAGACACTCAAATCACAACCAGTTGGTCTAAGGTACAACCTTTTCCCGATTTCCAAAATTCTGGTAACAGTTAAGGTTTCAGTAATACAATTTAAATGCCCCATAGCCTAGTACACATATTCGTCCAGGACTGATGATGCCTAAATTTTACTAATTTTCCAGGTTTTGAATAAACAATATTAACTCTTTTAGTGATATGAGGATTACGTTTGTTACTCGTTATCAGCGAGCAATAAATAAATATACGTTAGCCTAATTTGTTATGCTACATTGGGACATCAAGGTAAAGATAACTAGATGAACGGCATTAACGATCTAAATAATCTAGTATTATCCAGTTTTGAAATTCCCTTAGTTTGTTGTAACTTTCAGCTTATTAGTTCGAATATCTTTTACAGATGGGAATTGGATTCCCATTAACAGTCGGTTATGTGCTGTTAGATTAGAAAGTTCCGTCAAAGTGAGAAGAAATCGGCGTGAGAAACGATGTCTTTTCGTCACCTCCGCTTATGTCCCGACAGATTGCAGCCCGGATGCAATCAAGGATGAATCCTACCACCAGTTAACTGTTCTTCTCCAGAAAGTGCGTTTGACAGATATTGCAGTACTAGCCGGAGACTTGAATGCTCAGGTTGGGCGTCTAGGCACAGAAGAGAATCATTTAGGTGGCCGATGGGGACTTGTTGGTCGCAGGTCAGATAACGGGGACCGTCTACTGCAACTATGCACAGACCACGACCTGTTTCTGGCTAGCACTAACTTTCGGCACAGTCATCGCCGATGTGCCACCTGGCGTCCTCCTTCTGCATCTCAAGCCTGAACTCAGATTGATCACATCGCGATCAGCTACCGCTGGCGTGGTTGTGTAAAAGACTGCCGCTCCCTTTGGAGTACCTATCTGGACTCTGACCATGCCTTGGTCTGCGCCAATCTTGCCTTACTTTTCAGTTGCCAACGTAGTGACCGCCACCAAAAGATTGATGTCAGCAAGTTGGTTGCTACTTCTGTTGCTAGTAAGTATCAAACTGAGCTAGCTTCTAGGCTAGCTACCAATCCAGCGAAATGTATAGACGAGCATTGGTTGCAAATTCACGACGCCATGAAAATGGAGAGTAAAGCCTCTTGCGGCTTCGCAAAACGTCCCGCTTATAAGCACTGGGTTTCTTCTGGTTCCTTACAACTCATTGAAGCCCGTCGGTCTACTCCGGGTAACCGTGAGTTTGACCATAAACGAAGGATGTTACGTAAGGAAATTGGGAAAAGCTTGCGTAAGGACCAAGAAGCCTGGTGGTCGAAGCGTGCTAATGAGTTGGAAGCAGCAGCTGCATCTGGTAACTACCGGAAGCTCTTCCAACTCATTCGAGCCACTGGCGGCAAGAAGTCTGGTGTGAGTGAAACAATCTGTGAGGATGATGGGATGCCAATCACTAACATCCATCGTCGTCTTGGAAGATGGGTTGAATTCTTCGAAGGGCAGTCCAACTGGCCTGCTGCTCCGACAACATCGGTCAGACTGTCCTGCCCTCCATGGTCGGTGACGACCGATCCACCAAACGAGGCGGAATTCCGCAAGGAACTTCAACTCTTGAGGCGCTACAAATCACTAGGCCCAGATGACTTACCTCCAGCTCTTTTTAAAGACGGTGGTGACTTTCTGGCTAGGGAACTGACAACGTTGTTTACAAAGGTTTGGGAACTAGAGAGTGTACCAACGTCATGGAATGAGTCGATAGTTGTCCCTATCTTTAAAAAGGGTTCACGTCGTACCTGTAACAACTATCGGGGGATAAGTCTACTTCCGATTGCGTCCAAGCTATTGGCTTCCGTCATATTTCGTAGGTTGTTCAAAACCCGAGAAAGATTGACTCGCGAGGAGCAGGCTGGGTTTCGTTCTGGTCGAGCATGTATTGATCATATCTTCACCCTTCGCCAAATGTTAGAACACCGTCGTACACATCAAAGGCCAACAATCGTAGTGTCTCTTGACATCAGGGCTGCCTTCGATTCGTTGGATAGCACTGTTCTCTGGGATTGTCTATTGAAGAAGGGTGTGCCTGAGAAGTTTATTAACATCCTAAAAGCCCTATATACAAACACCTCAGGCAGAGTGAGGGCATACAGCCACCTTTCTCCATTGTTCCATTCAAGCAGTGGGGTTAGACAAGGTTGCCCAATCTCACCATTCCTCTTCAACGTTGCCATCGACGACATTCTGGAAACAGATCTGATGGATGTAATTAGTGGCGGTGTGGATCTATTGTCTGGAGAAAGACTTCTCGACCTTGAGTATGCGTATGATATTGTCTTACTGTGTGATTATGCCCAAGGCATGCAATCCGCATTTGATCAGTTGGCAATCAATGTCCGTAGGTACGGTATGTGCAGAGTACTTTTACAAGACTGGCAGGACGCTGATCCTGTACTCACCCTGTATAGTGAGCAGATAGAAGTAGTCGATAAGTTTGTGTATTTGGGTAACTGCATAAGTGCTGGTGATGGCGTGAGTGATGAGATCAATTCACATATAGTGAAAGCCAGAGCGGTTTATGCCAATCTCGGCCACTTTTGGCGCCTTCGTGATGTAAGTCTGGCTGTAAAAGGTCGGGTCTACAACGCGTCGGTGAGAGCAGTTTTGCTCTATACTTGTGAAACCTGGTCTCTCCGAGTTGAGGACGTTAGACGACTCTCTGTGTTCGATCATCGCTGTCTCCGAAGGATTGCTGACATTCAGTGGCAACACCATGTCAGTAATGCAGAGGTTCGGCATCGTGTGTTCGGGCACAGAGATGATAATTCAATTGGTGTCACCATCTTGAAACACCGACTTCGGTGGCTTGGACATGTTCTACGAATGTCGTCACAAAGAATTCCATATCGTGCATTATTTGCCGACACTGGGACTGGTTGGGAAAAGCGGAGAGGTGGTCAGTATATGACATGGTGTCGTGGTATGAAAGAAAGCTGCAAAGGACTGGCTTGTGTTGGTCCTTCACGACTTCATAGTTGGGGTGCTAGAGATGGTGCAACACAGTGGCTAGAGACGTTATCAGATATGGCTCAGAATAGAAGCCAGTGGCGATCCTGCTGTAACCTTCTTTTACTTTCTTCATAAAACGTGGTTGTATCTTCCTTAACTGAAAGATTTCTTCTGGTTCTACTTTTCCGTTTCCCCCATTATTGTTATCATTATTATTATTTTTATTATTATTATTGTTATTATTGTTATTATTATTATTAATACACTTCCTTACATTAATCTGGTCGTTATTGTTCCTCTTCCTCTTTTTTTTCTTTTACACTCCTTGCCTTTTTTTCTCCCCATTCTCATTGTTTTGTGTGGCGTATATACATTTGGTGCCCCCTTGTACCAATATTTATGTGTTCAAATAAATAAAGAAATAATAATCTTTTACAGAGATTAAAAACAAACTATAAAGCTTTCTCAAAATTATACTTCGTAATAATAAAGATATCTTGCCTTTCTATGTGTTCCAAAGGTTGAAAATGAGTGATGGCGATTTCATTCCTGAATATAAACCAACCGATATCGCCATTAAGTTATCTAATGAATTTCATCACACTTTTGGTACAGAATGCAGTTTTGTAGTTCGAGCTCCTGGTCGAGTAAATCTTATTGGTAAGTTAACAATTTGCATTTTAGACATATTTATGTCCATTTAGAAGGAGGTATAGAATGCTCACTTCAACCACTTGGTTATATTGGATGAAGAGTTAACTATATACTATGATAACAATCCATTAGCATTTACTGTAAGGAGGTTTGGATTCTTCCAACTTTTTTTGTTTAGCGTTATTCTTCGTAAATATTGGTTTAGAGATGATACACTATTTGAAATCTGAAAATAATAGTTAGGATGTTAGAAACATACAGGAGCACAGCAAATAGTTGACTAAATATCATAATCCGAGCGTTTCAGCAAAGCAGAATTTGAAGAAAAAAGCGTGTATACATAATAGCAAATAATAACTTGTAGAGCCCTTCTCAAGTAAGGCTCATTGGTGAACATCAGTTATTTGACTTTAATTAAGCTTTCGTTAGGTATTCTTAAGATATGAATGGCTTAGTTAGGTCAGCAGACTTTCAAATATTCGAATTTGATTCATTTTTTTGTCTACATTATATTTTATGGTCTCATGTCTGGTTTTAGCAACATATGATTTTAAACAATACTTTCTTGCTAATCAGCAACTTCCGATTTCAGTCTGGCAACTTTGTGGTCTTGGTTTTTTCGCAAATAAGCTGCACACATAAATTGTATTCGAACACTTCTAAAGTAACTTTTGTAGTTTCAATAAATTATAAATAAACATAGTGCAACCAGATATCATTGTCTCACTAACTAGTATTACGGGAGAAGGTTTTTGTACTCAAGTTGTTTGTTCCTTTATGAGGCGTAATTTTTGTAAAATAATGTTTGACTTGTCCGAAATTTCGAACGTCATTTTCTCCTGTGGTTTTATTTGACAATTGTTAGGATCATCTGTGAAAGTTCTTTATTTACACCTACTACTAGTTGCCTGACCTACAATGTTATTTAGTTTGTTAAAGCCTATATGAATGAACTCCAGCTCCCGATCGTTACATCTGTGAATATTCCATACCTTTCGCTTTTAACTGGATCTCACTGTTAAACGTATGTGAAGTTTTTCCGCTTACGATGGAAAACTTCGAGAAATATATTAGGTAATAATAGTGATCTCAGTTTTGGTAAGCTTGCAACAAATCTTACTATTTGTAGTTATTTAGTTATTGGTATTGATGACTTGTTTCAGGTACTTTCCTTTAATGTATGAAAAACCATCTATTATGATGAAAGTTCATAAATTATGTCCTGTGGTATTGAAGATTTAATGTGTTACTGATATTCATCTTATTTGCCTTTCCTAATGTGACACTTATCTTACAAATCACTTAGAATAAATAAGTCAGAAGAGGATGAGTCTATTTGTTAATGTTACGTGATTGAAGTTTTAAGGTTTAACTGTATTTGCTAACATTGAGTGACAATACAGAATGTGCATTGTCAGATTAACAATCAATTGAAAGTATTATTTATTTATTTTGTGTTTTTGGCCTTTAATATCAGACTTTCTTTTTTTTTACGTTCAAATGACTGAAAATAATTTGGTTAGCTGTAGAAGTTGAGTTGATTTAAAATATTGAAATAAACAAATATAAGTGATAAAGAAATTAAAACAAGCTTAAAGTTGATCAAAAAGAATTTTTATTCTGTGTGCAATTTGTTAATGATCAGTACTCATCAAATATCCACAAAATTGTCTTTTTTTATATAACTGGAGTAGAAAATTAGTCTTAATTATATGCCCCTTAATTGTACTGTAGTGAACAAGAACACGGGTGGGGACAATCGCTTATATTTAACACAGAATTACAGAGCATCTCAATAAATTCTGAGAACCATATATCAAATCGTTGATTTGCAAAATGTCCACCAGTTGTTTCAAAATGCCTCAGACTTTATTGTCCTTGCATTTTCATGCAGATTGCATTCTATTCCCGCTCTTCCTTTCTTGATCTTCCCCCATCTTCTGCTGCCAGACATTACATTCCTGACTCGCGTCATATACTACTTATATCAATATAAGCAGCGCGCACCACAATATACCTCTCACCATCACAGTGAAAAACTTATTGTTATTTTTTGTAATTATTGTAAGTTCACTGGGTTTGAAGCATGGAGGACAGATGTTTTCCTTTAAAGCTTACGTAGTAACCAAGTTCTTTTCTAGATTCCTTTTTTAATTTAATTTCGTAGTTCTTGACTTCATTTTATACTGACTCCATTCATTTTTACTTCTACGTCTCAAATACATATATTGTGATCGTGGGTTACACTTGATATCTATCATTGGCTGGTCACAATCAAATCTAGTTTCGATTTTTTAAAACATTATAAAAAGAAATCAACTCTGAATGATTATGGTGGCTATTTTCTTTAGTAAACAAGTAAATTTCCGATTACTAAATGCTATCGACCATTAATTATGTTTTTAGACATTTTGTAATAAGTTTGCTTTATGCCTTTGTTTTTGTTTATTTTAATAACCAGGTGAACATATTGATTATAATGGTTATCCTGTACTACCGATGGCGTTAGAACAAGCAGTTTATATGTCTGTAGGTCCAACATCTGGATCTGATTTGGATAGGATCGTTCTTAGAAGCACAGATACTCAATACAGGTAGTTTCGGTCATCATTTTAATTCTGCTTCTGTGCTGCTCTGTGGTACTAGAAAATAAGAAGGACCTGACATACATGAAATTGATCACCACCCAGTGATCAATCAATTGTAAATACATCTCAGTCCTACAGGAAGTCAGTCACGGCCCGGATAGCTCACTGGTAACGTCTCTGACGGTGAATATGGGTGACACGGGATCAAATTCGTCTGTGAGCATCATTTCCCTTAGGATTACAGAAACACCTTGGTGATGAGTGCCAATTAGCACGAAACCTAGGCCCAGGGTTTCCTGTTGACTACTTCCAACCACCATCTTATATCAACATAGTGCACTAAATGTCGAGTAACCTAGATAGGTGGCCACATTGCAACTTGGTCGATAGGGTTCGATTTGCACTAGGAAGGACCTGAAATAGATGACATTGGTCACCAGTGATCAATCAATTGTAAAGGAAATTAAGTGTTGAAGTTTACAGGTTGTTTTGGTTTACTAGAAAGAAATCTATTTACTCTCAGCTTGAGATTTATCGTTTTAGATGGTTAGACCATTCATTGTACACAGCAATTAATCGTTAAACTTTCGTTATATATATATATATATATATATATATATATATATATACTGTCATTGTTTTCGAAATTATGCCTTAAAATGTTTTATTTTGGATTTCCAACTACTAAGAGATTATAAGTAGCATATGCTAGTGTATAAAATTATTTGATGTCATTGTAATGGGTGAGTATTTGAGTGCATTATGTGAAGTGTGTTTTGATATTGTTATTATGATGGATAAGATCATTTCAGTACATGATAAACAATCATAAAATCGTGTTTATGAGACCGAATAATCAACAAGATGCCTCTAATAAACTGATATTTGAAACAAAAGAGCTATCCAACAGAATGTTTTTGTTCTTTAGCGAAACAATACCTTTATGTATAAAATATTAGGCGTGTAAAAAGAAATCGGCGGATGTCGTAATGGATTGAAGGATATATTTATTTTGTAGGCCTTCGTGTTTATCAAACAACCCTTGTCTCTAGTTACTCTTAATATTCATTAATTTTTGCTCATTTTTTGTTGTTATGGCTTGTCAGTTATTATGTTATACCATCGCCAATAAAAACACCGACTTATTGACCGAACCGATGGCACATAAACCTGCTAGGTTTGAAGCTATTACGAGTTCACTTATTATGCGAACGGAACAAAGACTTGTGACCGTAGACCAATAAGCTAGCTATTTGATGCGTCCCAGCCCCGCTAACTAGAGGAAGAAGTCCAAGCTTGGAACGGGTAAGTATATTCCGTAAGCCAGAAACACGAGTGAATAATAACAGGCACAAATCAAACGTATATATACAGCATAAAACTGTCCTTGGGAAGCGTAGCAAAAATAGCGTACTAAAAATACACAACTGTTCAATAGCGTTAAAGATTCTCCCAAGTGGGAAATACGACATGAAAGTGAAAAGTGCGCTTTTGGCGCGAAAACAAGAAAATTTAAATCCCCAACATAAAATTATAAAATTAAGGCATTTACCAAGTGAGGTCTGGGGATCTAACATCCCCAACAACACCAGTACGGACAACCTAGGGTCAGCTGTGAGTTCGTATTGGACCTCCGAAATATTAGCTTCTCTCCAGACGGTTCAGTTCAGAACACCAATATCAGCCTCCGCCACATGAATCATGTATTTCAGAGACACGCAGTTTATTTACAAGCAAATCGGACCGGATTTTACTATAAAATAGAAAATAACAATTATACAAGAGCAGGTCCAAAGTGGCTGTGAGTGTGAGATACTATAATTTTGATGGAGTTTTGTTCTATGAGATGGACGGCTTCCGATATACTTGAGTCTCCACACAGATCAAATTCTTAATTACAGTAACAACGACCGTAGAGCCCACAAAATCAACTGCGTACGAACTTCGTTTAGGAGGGCGAGGACACACTACAACACACTTGCAGCGCAGAAAAATGGAATTAATATCTAAAGACAATCTCCCGAAAAAACGGCTATTTAACCAACTTCATCAAAAAATACCAACAAAACGCCTCAGTAGAAACAAAATCAAGTATAGGAACCAACAAATGGATCATCCTACCATATGTAAAAGGCATATCAGGAATTGTAGCGACATTGTTGGAGCCTTTTGGAATAGGTGTGGTACACAAACCAACAAAATCACTTCAATCAATCCTACACAAATCAAAGGAAGAAAGGACAAAAGAAGAAAAACCGAACATCATCTGCAAAATAAATAGTTTTGACTGCGAAAAACACTAAATCGGACAAAGCGGACGTCACCTTCATCTTTGCCTGCATGAACATCAATTAGCGGTCAAACGCCATGACACATCCTCGCTTATATCAATGCTTCTGGACAACTGTGGACGGACATTCGACTGGGAAAACGCTGAGATCTTGCATAGAGGCAATTCTAAGAACACTAGAGAATTTTAGAAGCTTGGCACTCAGGTTAATTAGCCATCAACAAACACATTGAAATTCATCCAATTTACCAGTCAATCAGAAAAATTATGGGCAAATATAGGACCAGAACCAACACAAGAAAACTGGAGACTCAAGTATATCGGAATAGAATCAGTGGCCGATATAATCAAAATAAAGAGGTAAACAATGAAAGGTTAAGGGTGAACAATAACCAATCAAGACCGAGGTCTACAGGACAAGCTATGAGCCAAATATGGATAAATTCGAACACTTCACTTCTACCTAAATTTTATGCTGCTGATGATGTCGTTCAGAACAACGATGAAAGCTCCACGACCAAACCATCCAGCTCAGAGAATATTACTCCATCAAAACCATCCACCTGAGCTTCAAATGTTCACTGTAATAATAAACTGGGAACAATCTAATAATAGTAAATCGTATAATAATAGTGAAATGGAAGCTTATAATAAAAGGAATATGAATATAAATAAAACATAGTTACTCATTAGTTAAACAGTAATAATAATATTATGTTATAACAGTCCATAAATAGATCCTAGCGTTTACTATTCACTTATTCGTCGTCTGGATATAACACTTCCATTCGTTTTAACTTGTTCCTTACAGTTTTTCCATTTCGTCTTATTGCTCTTGTTTTTCATTATGTCTTCAGTATGTTGATTTTCACTGAGTTTGTGCGCATGAAATACATATATTTGCATCGATCCATTATTTTCTTGGGTTGAGCGCTTATTTACTTGTCTGTTTGTCTAACAAAACTATGGGATTATACTACAGTGAAGTATCTACACCGTTTATAAACTCCCATTTCTTCATAAGCCCACTGTTATATGCACACTAAAGACTAATAGTGTTTATGTGAAAACACGTGAACAAATTATTTCACAGACTAAGTTTAAAATTACGGTGTTTTCACACAGTTCTAACTAACGTTTGCAGTTGAAATATTCTATTCCTCAATCCTTGTACCCAATATAGGCCTATTAAAATTCCGATTACAGAAGCCATAACATTTGGTTGTGAAGGATCGCCTGACTCGCCTGAGTGGTTTCATTATTTTCAGTGCGCGTATCGAGGAATAAAAGACTATGTAGACAAGTTGGATTTGGTACGTTCATATATCCGTTTGTCTTTTTCTAATGACAGCACATCTCTTGTCAGCTTTGTTTCAACATTTCAGGTCATCATTATCCATAACAAGCTTATGTAAGCATCTAAAAGCTAAACCTATTGTGTAAGGGCTTGTGGTAATACTTCATTGCTCAATTATATAGTATGGGTGTAAACTGATCATCTGACAAGAAATTCAATAACAGTGGTCGTAGTAGAAATTCCAGTCATATCCTTCCAAATGTTAATGTAATTAATTGTTCTAAGTTAGTACATCAGATCGGCAGACTAACTTTTAAAGTTTTAGACACGGAGGTTATGATAATATTTGAATTCTACTGCCACTGTTTAAATGTTCTTAAAAACTAAATTTTCTCTTAATTTCACTCACTTACTGTTTATTCACACAAAGGACATTCTGTTGTGGCATTATATTAACCTATTTCCGTTCACTTTTGTCGACTACTAATGTTGGTTGTACGTGTAACTGCTTCACTATCCTCTGCGTTAAATCATCACATTTAGAAAAACTCTTTTGCTCTTTCTGTGCATGGTGAGTTTGTAACATTTAGACCAAAGAAGCACTTGATTCAATACAAGATGAAGGCCGCCTAATTTCAAGTATTTTTTGACACATTCTTCATAACGTGCTTATTTTAAACCATGTGGTTTTTCCGAGGTCTGATTAGTATCATTTTTCTAGATTAATATAATCTAATCTAATGTAAGGTAAAAGGAACAAAATACTAGAATGTTAATCAGTCAACTTCGGTGGAAGTGAAGCGAATACTATTGCCTAAATGGTTAGAGTGTAGTTATGACAACATGATAGTTTTGTCGAAAATTTAAACAAAGTGAGTTATTGACAACACGTTTATGCGGTTGTGCTATTGTGCTGTCTAGTTAATTAGTGAGTTCTTATCATAGTTTTCGTTGATTTACTCTTACAGACTGGATACATTTTTGAATTTTGAATTGAAAATCTTATTCATTGTTTAATTTTTAATAGGATTGGACTCCTCCTAGTCTAAATGTACTAGTTGGTGATGTTGAATATGGTGGTTTATGGCCAGCTGCTGGTCTTTCAAGCAGTAGCGCTTTCGTAGTTGCTTCTGCCATAGCAATTATGCGAATATCTGGTTTACAAATAAGTAGAGTAAGTGGAAAGTAGAAAAGTTGTAAATAAAGAGAACAAAGTATTATTTTGTGTTTCCATCTTAAATATTATGTCTACGATTATTTTCCTTTTTTCCCTAAAACAACTAGAATTTACTGCTTTCTACATATGTAATGGTAGCGATAACAATAGATTTGTTCGATATAATAAAACTCCGTCTGTAGCCTTTCTGTGGTTACTCCCGGTCCCAAGCCTGGATAAAAGAGGAAGGTTGAGCATGGGGTCGGCAACCACATCCTGTTGAAAAACACCTTGCTAAAAATGCTCAAACCATTTAAGTTCTGCCATGGAAGTTGAACAATTATGACGCCTCATGGTAATAGCCAAGATTATTCGAAAATCACGAGGCCGAACCCTTTTCGACGACAATTAATGTAGGAACATGAAATGTCCGAACAATGTAGGAGACTGGGAGGACAAGTTAAATAGCTGCGGAAATGAGGAAATACAATTTGGCGGTCTTTAGATTAATTGAAACCAATTGAACCCAAGCTGGACAGCAAAGACTAGCTTCGGGAGAGATGCTGCTGTTCTCACACCCGAGGAGTTGCACTGATGCGGTCTAAAGAAGCACGTGTAGCACTTGTAGGGTGGTAATCTCATGGATCAAAGATCATGGACAACGCCGAATATGAAGGTATCATGGGACGACAAGGACTGGGAGGAAGAAATGAGAATGGTGACATATTTGCAGACCCACGTGCATTCAACAAAATGGTTATGAGCGTCACAATATTTCCACACAAACGCATACACAAAGCTATGTGGATCTCACCGGACCACACTACAGAGAACCTCATCGATCATATCTGTATCACAAAACATTCGGAATGTCAATCGAAGACGTGAGAACCAGGAGAGGAGTTGACATAGCTTCATATCACCACCAACTGGTCGTCGCAAAGATGAAAATGAAGCCAAAGAAACATTGGAAAACTAGAGAAACAGCATTACAAAAGTTTAATTCCATTGCCTCGACATACTGACAAACTCAAGGAATTCAAGATACTTCTCAACAAAAAGTTCCAAGCCTCACAAGATCTACTCAAAGATGAAACTACTATGGAGGACAACTTGAGATGGATTAATGCAACACTAACCCCAACGTGTCAAAATGTGCTGGGCCGCAAGAAGCAACATTATAAGGAATAGATCTCCATGGGAACCCTGGACAAGATTCAAGAAAGGAAGAACAAGAAGACAGCAATTAACGACAGCCGAGCAAGAGCAGAGAAATTCAAGGCATACTCTAAATACACAGAAGCAAACAAAAAAGTGAAGAGGCGCATCAGAGCTGACAAGCATTAATACGTTTAAGACCTAGAAACGCCATCAGAAAAAGCTACGAGAGATGGAAATATGCAACAACCATATAATACAACGAAGAAGCTTTCATGGGAATATGGTAAACCAAATGCCTCGTCAAAAGCAAACAAGGCAAACCAACACTAAGATTCACGAACAGCGAGACAGGTGATTAGAAAATTTCGTAGAACTCTTGAACAGATCATCCCCATTGAACCCACCGGACATCGAAGCAGCAGACATGGATCTCCCTAGAGATGTCATCCCAACAACGATCGAAGAAATGAGGATGACCATCAGAGAAATCAAGAGTAGGGAAGCAGCAGAACTCGACAACATACCAGCTGAAGTACTGAAGTCAGACGTAGAAGCAACTGTAAACATGCTTCACGTTCTATTCAGAAAGATTCGGGAGTGAGAACAATTGCCGACAGACCGGATAGAAGGATACCGCATCACACAGTCCAAATTGTGACACTACGGATCATTTTTGACCATCAATTGGATGGAAATCATCACTATACACCAAATTCCCTGACTATGAGGCAGTGGTTGAAGCGCCGATAGGGGGGCGTTATACAACCCTCTTCGACACTGTGGTGTACTTGACAAGATCTTCACCACCATATGGAATTCTTACGACGGCTACACTACAAAGTGGTGCATGAAGGACAACTCACAGATTCATTGTAAGTGAAGATCGGTATTAGACAAGGCTGCTTGCTTGCTCTCGCCTTTTCCATTTCATCTGGTGGTTGACTGGATTAAGAAGACTTCCACATCTGAGAGAAAGCATAGAAACCTCGGACGCAACTAAACAATCTAGACTTTGTGGATCACTTAAATCTTCTATCCCGTATACAGAAACGAATGCAGGTGAAGGCAAACAGTGTAGTAGCAGCCTCTGGAGCAATAGGCCTCAACATTCACAAGGCAAGAAGATCCTGAAATATAACACAACGAGCACCAGCCAAACTACAATTGATGGAGATGCTCTGAAAGATATGGAAACTTTTAACATACCTGGGACCGTTATTGATAAACAAGGGGGATCTGATGCAGATATGAAAGCATGGATTGGTAAAGCAAGCGGAGCATTCCTACGACTGAAGAACACATGGAACTCGAAACAACTGGCAACCAATATCAAACTCAGAATCTTCAGTACGAACGTCAAAACAGTTAGTTATATTGTACGGAGCTGAAACTCAGAGAACTACCACAACCATCATCAAAATGGTACAATTATTTATAAACAATTGTCTACGTAAGATACCGAATACCATCAGCAACAACCTACTGTGACAGAGGACAAACCAGCTTCCAACTGATGAGGAAATTAGGAAAAGACGTTGGAGGTGTATTGAGCATACATTGTGGAAATCATCAAACTGTATCATGAGGCAAGCACTAACTTGGAATCCTGAAGGAAGTCGGGAAAAACGAAGACCAAGGGACACATTGCTCCAGGAAGTGTAGGGAGACATCAAGAAAATGAGTAGTAATCGGAAACAATTTATTTATTTATTGTCACATACCTTGAATTCAAAACGTTTGAAGTACAATTCGAAAATTCATAAAGTAGTTGGTAATTATCTTTATTAGTTTAAGTCATAATATCTTTTGAATTCTCTGAAAGTCCACACTATAATCTGGATCAAATGAAGTTTGATGAAAAATGTTGACTGAAATATTGCGATGCGGCGGTTAAATGACAGCATGTCTTTTATATATGTAAGTAGCAAGTACGTTTACTACTTATCTACCTTATAATGCAATTAAAAAGTTAATCATTGCTGCCGCATTTTTCAATGTATCCTTCATTAATAGTCATTTGTTATGTAAATAATCTTGCGATTAAATTTTTTTAAATTAAATCATTTGTTTGTGTCAATACTTAGCGATTTCGTTGTAGTTAGATCTTCAAAGTTTTCTCTGATTTCAATTTTCCTCTCCAGCATGAATTAGCAAGTTTATGTGCGAAATGTGAGCAATATATTGGTATGCAAGGTGGTGGAATGGATCAAGCTGCAAGTGTTCTAGCAGTTGAAAATAATGTAAGATCATTGATTTTTGCCTATTTATTGAATAATATCAAAACAAATCAAAATAAAACTTTTTTATTCCCTAGTGCCTTGCTTACCTATTTTTTTTTCTAATATATTATTTCCTTATAGGCTTTAATGATTGAATTTACCAAACCATTTGTCACAGTCAGTCCTATTCAATTACCGTCTGATATGGTTTTTGTGATAGCTCATTCGGGTGTACACGCTCGCAAAGCTGCTACATCATATTATAACGAACGTGTGGCAGAATGTCGATTAGCTGCTAAAGTAAGCTTACAGTTGCGATGTTTAATAATCTGATACTTGAAAAAAGTCTTTTCTTGGCTTATGTGCATGAAGCTTTAGATATTTTTAGGTTACAATGTTCTTCTATCCAAATCCCAACAATTACTACACACAGACTATGGTGAACATTAAATTTGATTCGTGCTATGGTTTAGTAATTAGTGCACTTAGTTTTTAATCGTTTGTTTGCATGCTAGAATCCCGTCACATGTTTGATCTGTATGATTAAGTGGTATTAAGAGTCTTCACCTGATGCGTATTGCTCGAAGGCACACACATAACTTTGTACTTCGTCGTTCAGTTATATTGTGTTAGGTGAGTTAATCATATTTTATATATCATGGCATCGGTCCATGATGCCATTGATTGTGGGATTGAGGTGTATTGGTAGATGCACACTACGTGGTCGGAGTCCACATAAGATGACATTTTGTCGATGTGTTCGTTCTTTATCTTGCTTCAAGTATTATCTAGTTTTTCATTTTACTGATCTACTAATCTATTAATGTTTGGTCTTTCTCACTTTCACTGATGGTGTAGTGAACAGGACACGGGTTGGGACAATCGAATGTATTTAAAACAAAATTACAGGACTTGTTAATAAAATCTAACAATCATAAAGTAAATGCTTAATTTGCAAAATGTCCATCATTTGTCTCAAAATGACTCTTGGATTTTCATACAAATTGCATCCTGTTTCCATTCTTTACTGTTCGATCCTCTTGTCTCTCTGCTGCCAGACCTTCTTTCCACGACTAACATCATATACTACTTATGTCAATATAAGTAGCACACATCACAATGGTACTGTAAAATAGACCCTACTAATATTCATCTTATCGACTTCATCTCATCTTGATGTGGTAGGGCACTTTGTGGCGACACTTATGTGCATCAAGATTTATGTTAATTGTAACTAACTGACATAGTTCGCGTACTTATCTCTAGTCATATAGATTAACGGTTGACTAAAGTTCTTTTAGAAATGTAGTTAATTCCACGGGATCGCTAAAAAAGTAATATCGTCTTATATATTTTGAAAAATAATTTCATATGACCTAGTAATTAAATTACAAAGATCGAAATATAATTTCAACCTTACTCGAGTCATCTATGAATAACATAGAAAGTCAGCCATCTAACGGCATGTATGACTGACAAACAATCCTGTCAGCTGTCAGATAAAACACTCATGATATATAAGGATACCTAAAATGTAAGACGAATTCAAAATTACCTCAATAATAACCCGGGAATAGATAGGTGTTTATATTCATTAAACTCCCTCACCTCCACTATAATATTCAACGTGGAACTATCAATATATACTCGTAAATTTGTTACTTTTATGGTAGAGATCAACTCTTATAATCCATCCTATACCATAAGATTTATATTTTAGACAAACAGATATATAGATAGTATACTGGTAATGATCTTGGTTGCATTTTCTTGGTACTTCGGAGGTAATTATTATTATTTTCTGAGATAATTTATTGTTTTTATCTTTTAAAATGTACAAGGATACATTTATAAATGCGAAGGAATTGTCTGTTAATTTTAATAACATGTGTTCGTAACATAATCTATCTTTATCGTTCGTCAGAATTAATTTATGGTTGACTTTGTACACAATGACCATATATATATATATATATATATATATATATATATATATATATATATATATAGTTCACGTGTTTTCTCCGCATTTATCAACAGATAACTTCTGTTCTCATTTTCAAGACATACATCTGGTCATTTTAGTAGTGCACTACCACTACTACTAATAGTAGCAGTAGTAGCACTAATAACTGCATGGGATAACTGGCACACATCTGTTTTCTTCTTTACCTTTCTTGTAAAACCTCGAAAAAAATGATAAATGGCACCGTTTCTTGATTTACGTAGTCTGAAATTGTAAAAACAACACATGTAGATTATATTGTGCATTTCATAAAATCTAAGCTACCTTAATGGCTTTTACGTAAGAAACAAACCCTAAGTAGAAAAACAGAAAGATTCCTTGTAGTTTCTTCTTTAATGTTCCTTTTAGACCTAATCAGTACTAGGAATCGTCTTATTTATAATTTCAGTTTGTTTTTCTTTACCGGTAATATTTGTATGTATATGTGTACATAGTTGTAAGGTGTATTGGTTTATTAGAAATGTTAATTAACCCTGAAATTCGGTTTACTCACTTATCTATAGTGCAGTTAGTTTCACTGCGCCTATGACACTAGTCCATATGCACAAAATGTCATTCATCTATTTCCGTACATTAAGTATCTTGTGTCAAACGGTTCAGGTTATAAGTAGAGGAAAAGCAGGTGACGTTCTATGATTCAGCGCCATCAAGTATTAAATATTTTTCGAGGAGCAATCATAAATCTAAATTATTAAAAGAGCAAAAACTTTCGTACCTGTATTACACAGAATAATAAACTCATTTTTATCACTATTACTCTAAATAGTATATTGTAAGTTCGTTTTTGTATTAGTTGTTTGAATCTTCCCATTGATGCTTAGGACTTCGATTGATCAGTCTCTTAATGTGTTCATTTTGTGCGGATTTCGTCGATATCACTTTAAGTCACAAGCATTATAAGCAGAGATACATGTTGGTCTTCAATCTTATTTATTTTAACACCAGATTATATGACTTCACAAATCGTTATTTAAAGACAAATAAAGATATGTTTTAGGCTGATTCTTTTAATTATTCGAATTATGTCATGAGGATTAAAAACAGTTGTCCTTACTATCCTTGAGTTTTATTTTTAAAAAACTGCTCTGTTTTCTAGATATTAGTTCGAAATAGCCCGCATATAACTGAACCTTCTAATTATTCATCCATTACACCCTTATGTCTCAGTGATGCACAAAAGTTGTGGAAAGCAGATTCACCTGATGAAATGATACGCATTCAAAAGGATGGATTATCAATTGTAACTAGATATCTACCAACTGGTATTACTAGTCGAGAAAATCTCTGTAATTTAGGCTTGACTAGTCCAATTATTGAAGGGTGCTTAACAGAAAATACTAAAACAAGTATGTTTCACATACATTAGGTTATTATTTTTCAAATGTCATATAGTTTTTCTTTTTCGATAAACTAAAATACATTTTAATTTTCAATCTTTTTAGTGTCAGATAATCATTAGTGGGTGTACAGTTTAACGTTTTTGCAGTAAATCTAAACTAATGGTACAGCGGTAAAACTTGCGGTTGATTTGTTTGTTATTGGTGCTATCATTTGAAACAACAATCGCAAGAATTGATAAGCAAGTTACATCGTTTTATGAAGAGTTGTGAAAATTTTTGCGGTGGTCATAATCACATATAGACTTTTAAATACTTTCTTTAGTGTCATAGCGCTCACTTCGAAATGTGGAGGTCCTGGGTTTGATCTCATGTGTAGTCGTCGGTCTACATTGTCAAGCAGTCTCAATCTAAAACAAATAAACTATATCAACGACTCTAGCAATTTTCAACCTCACTTTTTATGCTTCGGTTTAGCAAACAAGGTGTTACTCTAAGGAGTGTATGCAAACGTTTACTTAGTTATTAAGTTCTACTTAATTGTATCATGATATCCTAGCACATTTTTTTCTTGGTGTTATATTAAAAAAAAACTCCGCCTGTAGCTCTTCTAGAGTAACTGCCGGTTCCAAGCCCGGGTAAAGGAGGAGGGTTGGGCATGGGGTTAGCGACCCCATCCCGTAGAAAACTAACTCGCTAAAAAAACGCTTACCAGGAAAAATTATTCAAACCATTTAAACTCTGCTCTGAAAGTTAGAAGGTCTTCATTTAGAAGAATTATGACGCTTCATGGTGAAAGCCGAGTTCTTTCGGAAGCCATGAGGCCGATGCCCCTTCTAACAACCAGAGCAACAATTTTTATGGGTACATGGAACGTCCGAACAATGTGGGCGGCCGGGAAGACCAGTCAAATAGCAAAGGAAATGAGATACAACTTGGCAGTACTGGAAATCAGCGAAACACATTGGACCCAAGCTGGACAACAAAGGCTAAATACGGGAGAGATGCTACTATACTCCGGTCACGAAGAGGAAAATGCTCCACACACTCAGGGAGTTGCTCTAATGTTGTCCAAAGTAGCACGAAATGCACTTGTAGGATGGGAATCTCACGGATCCAGAATCATCAGAGCATAATTCAAAACAAAGAAGGAGGGGATCTTAATGAATATTATCCAGTGCTATGCACCCACCAATGATAGCAACGACGACATTAAAGATCAATTCTACGAGCGGCTGCAGTCAATCATAGAGAAGTGCCCAAGAAACGACCTCATTATTCTAATGGGAGATCTAAATGCCAAAGTCGGAATAGACAACACCAAATTTGAAGATATTGTGGGACGACATGGACTGGAAGAGAGAAACGAAAATGGGGAAAGATTTGCAAATCTGTGTGCACTCAACAAATTGGTCATAGGAGGCACAATATTTCCGCACAAACGTATACACAAAGCTACATGGATCTCACCGGACCACACTACAGAGAACCAACTAGATCGTATTTGCATCAATAAAAAATTCCGAAGGACAATAGAAGATGTGAGAACCAGGAGAGGAGCTGATATAGCTTCAGATCACCACTTAGTTGTGGTCAATTTAAAACTGAAGCTAAAGGAAAACTGGACAACTGGACAAACAGCACTACATAGGTTCAATACAGCCTTCCTTCGAGATACCAAAAATCTCAATGAATTCAAGATAGCTCTCAACAACAAGCCTTAAAAGATCTACTGAAGGAAGAAGAAACTACTATGGAGGACAACTGGAAAAGTATCAAAGAAGCATTAACTTCAACGTGTCAAGAGGTTCTGGGCCTCAAGAAGCATCATCATAAGGAATGGATCTCTATAGAAACACTGGACAAGATCAAAGAAAGGAAGAACAAGAAGACAGCAATTAACAACAGCCGAACACGAACAGAGAAAGTCCAAGCACAAGCTGAATACATAGAAGCAAACAAGCAAGTGAAGAAGAGCATTAGAGCCGACAAGAAGAAGTACGTGAAAGAACTAGCAACGACGGCGGAAAATGCTGCAAGAGAAGGAAATATGAAACAACTTTATGATACAACGAAGAAACTAGCAGGGAAATACAGTAAACCAGAGAGACCGGTCAACATCAAGGAAGGCAGGCCAATCACTGAAATTCAACAACAGCGTAACAGATGGGTAGAATACTTCGAAAAACTCCTGAATAGGCCGGCTCCAATGAATCCACCGGACATCGAAGCAGCACACAGAGATCTTCGTATAGATGTCAATCCACCAACGACGGAAGAAATCAGAATAGCGATCAGACAAATCAAGAGCGGGAAAGTCAGACATCGAAGTAACTACAGACATGCTTCACCCTCTATTTAAAAAGATTTGGGAGGAGGAACAAGTGCCGATGGACTGGAAAGAAGAACACCTCATCAAGATTCCAAAGAAAGGAGATCTGAGCAAATGTGAAAACTACAGAGGCATCACACTACTGTCAATACTAGCGAAAGTTTTTAACAGAGTGTTGCTGAAGCGGATGAAAGATGCAGTAGACGCCCAACTTCGAGATCAACAAGCTGGATTACGTAAGGATCGGTCGTGCACAGACCAAATTGCAACATTACGGATCATCGTTGAACAATCAGTTTAGTGAAACTCGTCACTATACATCAACTTCATTGACTACGAAAAGGCGTTTGACATGGTAGATAGGAGAAAATTATGGAAACTTCTTCGACACTATGGAGTTCCTGAGGAGATTTTCAACATTATCCGGAAGTCATACGACGGACTACAGTGCAAGGTCTTGCATGGAGGACAGCTGACAGACGCCTTCCAAGTAAGGACCGGAGTCAGACAAGGCTGTTTACTCTCTCCCTTCCTCTTTCTTCTGGTGGTCGACTGGACAATGAAGACCACGACATCTGAAGGAAAACACGGAATACAATGGACAGCTCAGAATCAATTAGACGATTAGGACTTCGCAGATGACCTAACCATCCTATCACGTACACACGAACAGATGCAGATGAAGACAGCCAGTGTAGCAGCAGTCTCTGCATCAGTAAGCCTCAGCATACACAAAGGGAAAACCAAGGTCCTCAAATTCAAAGCGGAAGACAGCAATCCAATCACTCTTGATGGCGAAACTCTGGAAAATGTAGAGTCCTTCACATACCTAGGAAGCATCATCGATGAACAAGGAGGATCCGATGCAGACGTAAAGGCGAGGATCGGCAAAGCAAGGGCCGCATTCCTACCATTGAACAACATATGGAACTCAAAACAACTTTCAACCAATATCAAGGTGAGAATCTTCAATACAAACGTCAAGACAGTTCTACTGTACGGAGCTGAAACTTGGTGAACTACGACAACCACCATCAAGAAAGTACAAGTATTTATAAATAGCTGTCTACGCAAGATACTCAACATCCATTGGCCGGATACCATCGGCAACAGCCTTTTGTGGAAGAGAAAAAACCAGCTTACAGCTGAAGAAGAAATTAGGAAAAGACGATGGAAATGGATAGGACATACATTACGCAAATCATCAAACTGCATCACGAGGCAAGCCGTAACTTGGAATGCTGAAGGAAGGCGGAAAAGAGGGAGGCCAAAGAACACATTACGTCGGGAAATAGAAGCAGATATGAAAAGGATGAATAACAACTGGAGAAAACTGGAAAGGATTGCCCAGGACAGGGTTGGATAGAGAATGCTGGTGAGCGGCCTATGCTCCTTCACGAGGAGTAACAGGCGTAAATAAAAGTAAGTAAAGTATATTGAAAACGTTCTTCGAAATGAACAGTTTATTTTTTATCATATCTCACTCATTACTTTTATTTACATTTAAATTTAGTGAACCACTTTTATTTAAGAGATCGTGCAGAACATGTATACTCTGAGGCTGAACGGGTTTTTAAATTTTACAATATATGCAAAAAGATATTTAGTAATAGTGATTCACAAACGAATTCAAATAATTATATGCAGTTGTTAGGAGATTTAATGAATCAAAGTCAATTATCTTGTGCCAATCTTTATCAGTGTTCTTGTCGTGAATTGGATAAATTAATAAGCGTTTGCAGGTTAGTGATTTGTCAAAATTAACTCTCAGTTCACTCATTTACAAAATAATAGTGATGATTTACTGATCAGTTTCAAGTTATGAGAATTTTGTTTGTTTGTGTGCAGTGGTTGTTTAGATAATTTATTGTGTGATTCAAACAGTTTAATTCAATAATGTAATTGAGTACCCAAACTAAGGTTTATGGATTCGACTGTGAGATACATATTTCACTGTGAGAGTAACAACTAAGTGTACTACTTGACTGCTATAATCAAAATAAATGGATATGAATTCAAAGCTCTAATTTTCATGGTTCGTGTTAGACCATCTCTCACTTTGTAATACAAGTAAACTGAATAAATGATGCGAGAAAATGCTGATAGATACTTTAAGGTACAGGTGTCAGAACATCCTGTATTAACATTTTTTGGTCCTTTTGGTACTAACGTGTACTGAAACATTTGTAGCTGCAGTTCGTCTGAGGATATATGTACGTTTTTTGTAAAAACTTAAAGTTTTGATTTATACCAATTTTTCAGTGATCTTCAGGTAATATTTATGTACCTTAGCTTTTTTTCAATCCTGCACCATTTATTCTTTTGTCCCGACAACACTTCTTTTACATTCATGATCTTAGTTGTTCGATTCCTTTCATCACTTTTTATGTGTGTTTTCATTTAATATGAATATTTTTGTATGGCTTATGACGTATTTCCATTGCTCTTATTAACACAAATTCACTGTCTTGCTATTATTATTATTATTATTATTATTATTATTATTATTATTATTATTATTATTATTATTATTGCTTATATACTTACCGCCTACTTATCACTTTATATTTGATGTCTAGTATGCATTTTACAGCTTTTTATTTTATTTGAACACATAGATATTGGTACAAGGAGACATCAGATACATATGCGCCACACAAATCTCATTTGTTTTGTATGAGGGCAGTGATACTGCCCGAGTGCTCAAACCGAAGCAGTTGGTTTTCTTACGGGGCCACAACCGAAGCCTTCGACCTAAAGGTCTGATCCACAAGGCAGTGAAACAACATCAGGAAATGCGGTCCCATGGTAGCCGGTGATCATCGACTGGTTCATACGCCATTTGTACCACAGGATACTGGAGTCCATGTGCATCAATGGTTTAAAATCAGGGTCCTCCAACCTCCCTAGGTGGACTCTCTGTGTCCACCAACCCGGTTAGAGCGCCGGACACTCGCTCTTCGTCCTGTCAATTTCGTAAACAACACCCCTCCACGAGAAGGTAGTGAGTAGGACTTCCCTGGAAGATGCTGTATACGCGTGGCCATTTGAGAGCATTTCGAGAGAGAGGGCGAACTCTCCCCACTCTCGGCCGTACCAGGGCATTTGGGGGCACATGTGTAGCATTTTACAGCTACATATATTCAATTCATAAGTGCATCAGACTGAAAGCCATTGTTGTTTGGTTAGTTATTTACTGTTCTACCCCTCACCATGGATTTTGCTGGTTTCCTTTTCAGCCAAAATATTGCGTTAAGAGTTCACTTATTTATATTTGTGATAATTTAAATTATAGATAACAGTTTCCCCTCAATTTACTTTCATTCTTATCTGCGAAAAGTGGATTCATCTAACTTAGGTGTTAAAAGGAGTTAATTAGTATTTTTTTTTAAACTGGAAAGGTTATTATGTTCTTTTTATATTATTAAGTATGAGCTGGAACTCTATGGCTTAGGTACCGAACTTCCAAACGTTCGGTCGTGAATTAGTGGCTTAGTCATATGTTAACCTTTGGTTAGTAAGTTTATATTGTCATGTTACTCATTGACAATTCATTTCTTGTGCATTTTCTTTGATATCTAGTTTCATGAATGTAGTTTTCCTTATTTTTACCATGCTGAGCCTTTAGTCTTTATTCATCTTAATTTAGTACTTTTCATTCGATGCATTCCACTTGTAAATTCAAAGTAAAGTAGTTGACCTGATTAGTAAGGTGTATAAAATAATAGAATTTCGCTTCATACTCACTTTCAGTTTATTCGAATTCAGAATCTCGGTCAACCAGTTCAAACTTCATTTTCATGAACCTTAGAAGTTGGATATTATTGTTTTTGAAGTTTCACGAGAGGTATAATCTATAATGAGTCAGTTAGAGTATATCTGCTGAATTTGAAAATTTCAAATCCATGTGCAGTTGAAATTTTCACTGCTATATTTTGTTATTAATTACCAATCTTTAGGTGAGTACTTTCAAAACAGCTTTTAGTTGAAGTGTAAGTCATAGGTTAATCAAACTTTCTGTTGATGTTATCTGTGAAGTAGGATTTGTATATTATGCGTTTAAGTAGACTATTCAACCACTAGCCACTATTTTAAGATGAGTATTCATTTATTTTTTTAAGCTGACGATTTGTCTTCAATAAACTTATTTTATAGATCAGCTGGTGCTTTCGGTAGTCGTCTAACTGGAGCAGGTTGGGGTGGTTGCACCGTATCACTAGTGAAAAAATCTTATGCGGAACAATTCATTGCAAAAGTACGCGAAGAATTCTATAATGTGATTGGTGCTGGCAGTAACAACGACTTGATATTCGTTAGTCAACCGGGTCGTCCAGCTGGAATAATGGTTATTCAATGAATGAAGAGATTCCTTTTGATCACGCTTCATTATTTTAAAAAACTTTTCATGTACTTTTGTGATTGATTTATTTTGTTAATTATATTTGCTGTGATTTGAAATTTTCTTTAAAAATTATTTGATTTGTGTCCACTTAGATTATACAATAAAATGTTTGTTCTTTTATCTGAGAAGAGATTGTTCAACTTACTCTGGTTGGGTGTATATGTAATTTCATGGATCACTGTTTGGTCTGTTCAGCGCGAGAAGCATTTCCCTATTGAGCTAATTTCCATAAAACAATCAATCAAAATATCGTTTAATCTATATGGTCAGAATGCTAAAAATTGATAGTTGGACTATTTGTGCAATACACCCACTGTTTATCACATTAAAGCACATTTATTGACTGAATCGAAGGTATCATTCAGGAGTGATTCTTCTTTTTCTTTCCTGAATTTTTTTTAATGAACTAAGATTATTTTCACTTGTTCTCGAAGCCTGTTTGTATCCTACTGTTGTTATGTAAGATTTGTATAGGACAATTTCTCTACATGACTCGAAAATCGTATGTCGCATTAACTGTGTATTTTATTAGACAAGCGTTCAATCAGACTCATAAATTTTTAAGTTACAGTAAGTAGGTAATAAAAAATATAACAGCCGTACTATAGATTTAACACCATGTACTGAATCAATAGTTCAGGTAGAACATCGTAAATGTTTTAAGTATTTTTCTGCAATAATATGTGCCAGTGGACGTTCCATAGCCAGATGACATTGTCATTAAAACTGAGTACACATAAGAGACAGTCACACTTATATTGTATAATCATTAATACGACAATTCTTGTCGATCTCGAGAATTATGATTTTATCAGTAATCGTTATTGAGTAATACCAGGAAAGAATATGTTGTTGTGTGGAAGTAATTCTTTGTTTTTTAAAATTAAATTTCCAGTCTAGTTGGAATCGACATTAGTATTTATTTATAATAATTCTAATGATCATATCTATGTCTAAATTAATGCTCCAGGCATATACTCAGAATAAGAGCAAATAATTCTAACACCAGGTACACTGAACAATGCGACAAAAGTATTTTAACTTACAAAAATTGTTACTCATATCCATTGGTTGAATTAAAACTGTTGTAAAAATTAAGTAGCGAATAGTAATTATGGACTTATTCTCTAATTATTCCCTATGATATTCTGAATTCAGATCTTTGATTCCGTCTCTAAATACAAATAATTTTTGTATAATAAATGTAGGAAAGTTCTTATTCACTTTCCAAACCTAATCTAATCTAGAATGTGAAGGTAGATTTTTGTCGGGGGATTTATTTTATTCAACAAAGAAAACTGATTAAGTGTCGTTAATATGCTGTCCTAAACATAAGGTTCTTGCTAGTTGGCACTCACCAGCAAGGCATATTTTAATGGTATGCATTAATTATAACAACATAATATACTATTTACTTTTGTTTGGTAATGGTTCTGATCCCGTAGATATCATTTTTACAATATATTTAAACGTACTGCAGATAAGTAATTAGTGCACCACAATTTCATCTCACAAACTGAAATGGTTGATTAGACCCGTTCACCTTTACCTCGAGTTAGATCGATCAGGGAATCTTTAGCTTGACTTATTCCGTAATAACTATTGGTAAGTGGTAATTTCAATTGTATAGAATTGTTACCATTTGGTTTAGCACTTCATAACTTACCTCCACCTATTCCATTCTTAATTGACATAATGTACACAGCAATAACTATTGTACTTTTGAACAGATATATTTTAGAATCAATTTGTTTTTCTAGTCTTAGCTAAACAAATGACATGTTAGTAAATATTGGACAAGCCATTTAAACATTATGATTTTACTAGGTTGGCAATTGGAAAAGCCTGCTAGCTAACTAAGCAAACAATATTTTAGATATAATCTAAATGAACACAAGGATATACCAGTATTTCATTTTCATGATATTGTAAATAGTTGATTACTACTGTTGCATCACATAATTGACTAATTCATTAGTGTAAAGAGGGATAAAGATAAATTGGTATTTTGTATTTTAAAGTGTTAGATTTGTGTTAACACGAATATGTTAGGATTGAGAATGCCGTACAATTCAGAAAGGAGTTTGTAATTGAATCATAATCCAAAGGTAGAAAGCTGCTTATTGTTGCATTACATTTTGAGTTTTCTAGAGATAGTTGGAGTAAAACCAAGAGAAATTCAAAATTTCACTTTATTGCCAATGTAAATTCTAACATGACTCACATTTTTTGAATACAGTTGTAAATTTCCACCGCTTTCAAAATCTATGCTTCTCTTATTGAAATTTCAACAATTTATTCGGATTTCGTAAAAGGAGGAATCTTCAAGGATCAAATGAGTGTACTGTTTATAAAATTTCCAACAATAAAGATGGAGATCGGTCGAAGATTTTTCATTAATCACGTACAACTAACCAGTGGACCGATATTATGAACAATGGATTTGTGTCCACCCAACTATGCTGCTTGTAGCCACGTAGTGAAGTAATCCGAAGGGCAAAATTGTTTTTCGTCTATCGATTTATAAACTTAGCATATATGAAAATGATTCTATTTGATGATTTTGATAAATTTATAAGATATTTTGTATAGCAATATCACTTGTTATGTCAGTGTTCACATTTAACGCCTTCTTTGAGGTTAGCCTACAGTTTGTCTTTCGATTTTTGATGCGTACATTTAGACGAAAAGATATTCCCTAACAAAGCTGCATACGAAAATTTAAGCGCTATTTTGTTATCATTGTATTTCTAATAAAGACCAAAGTTTTGGCTTGCAGTTGCCTTTTCTTTATTCACTCTTCCTGAGATCCATGAAAGTTAGAATCACATATTTATCTTGGACAAACTTCATCTATTTACAAAGGATTGATGAGTTTACCCAACTGACATATAGGAAAACTCCCTTTTTGGGCTGCCCTCAATGGCCATATGAGATTGGACAAAGAAGTTTAAATATTTTTTCTAAGGATACTGTTATTTTAAATGTGGATATTTATGAACGAAGATTCTATTGTTGATTTACCATCTCCGAAGAATCCTAGAAAATTTTTCATTCAGTCGTTTCTATGCTAATGTACGTTATTTTATGTAATATTTCTCTCACTACTTGAATCCACTAGGTAGTTTGTATAAATAACATTTTTTGTAGTAAAAATATCTTAGATAGCTTCAGCCCTAAGACTGGTTTATTCTTAATCGAAATGATGAGTTATTACTATTAGAAAATTTAAAATATTTAAATCTTAAAATTAACAAGATTCATCATCAAAACTATTGGCAGTTTCATCTAGACAATTTCGTCAGTCCATAGTTCCTCTGGTCAGTTACTTAGTAAAGTTGCGATGCAAACGCATCGGTAAAAATTTCGGTCTAAAAAAGTGCCTTCTCAGTTATATGTATAACGTATTCGATCTTGTTTTACAGGGTTCTTTTTTTCATGCATTTCATCAATTATACACTAAGTTGTAGATTTAGAAGAATTTTACATGAGCTCCCTAATATATCTTCTGATTTGTGAAGGCTAGTTATGATGTAAAGCAGACGAAAAGACAGTGGGATTACACATTATGATCATGACTTTGGTCTTTGACTAAAACCTCTCATTTGCAAAATTATCTTTAAAATAGATCTTTACAAATATAAGATATTAATGTCCTATCTTTTAGTCCATTATACTGCTATAATGGCTAACTTTTGAAGATAGTCGCATAAGAAAGCCTCAGCTATTCGTTTAACAGTACTCCCATACGATCTGTTGTATACAGATTGTAGACTAAAAATCTCTCCGTTTAACAAATTTACTCTGTGAAGATGAATTAATTGATGTAACCAGAGATGTGCTTCTTTCTATGCTTGTAGTAAGTTCACTTATTATGATGAATGATACTGAATGCAATGCCTGTAGATTGAACAGTATTTTACAGCGATTAGATGGATTCATCCATGATGGGAAATATAAAGTTTACAATATCCATCTGAAACGTAAAACACCAAAGGGCCTTACGAGTTTCTTACGCGGCGGGGTAACGGGGAACAAAATCCATAAATTCCTACCCTTTTTATCTTTCCAAAAATTTGTGTGAAATAAATTTCGTTTTGCTTATCATCAAAACAGTACATACGATGTAATTAATCATATAGACCCATACAGTGATAATACTCAATTTCATTTAAAATGAATTGGCGATATAGACATTGTTTACCTATCTAAATAGTTAATCTAACTGATCACTTTGCACGGTCTTACTCAACTAAACAGCAACATTTGAACGTATTTTTGTAGGCGAGTATTTCAAACAAAAGTTTTATCACCATTACCATTTAATATCGAAGGATATTTTGTTATATGATTAAAATCTTTAAATTTTAATAACTAACTTGGCGTAATTTTAATTATTGATGACATAAAGGTTTTAGGAATTTACAGACTTATTAATGAGTATTATTAAACTGTGAATGAAATACTGATCATCGTATTAGACTTAAATAAACAAGATTGGAAGAAATGATACAGGGAAATAAATACTGAAATAAATAGTAACTGTTATTATCAACAATTATGTAGACACGGGACTAATTTTTTTTAGTTATTCGTAGTCAATTTTAGATTATACCGCTAAGAATAAATTCGAATATCACTTAAATATCATCTGAGTCACTAGATATATAAATGAGATGGAAATAGAAGACATTTAAAACTACCCATTTATCAACTGTTGCACAGATTAAATACGTATAATGCCGAAATTGTGTAGTATATGATCTCAATGGTAAATACACTGTACGTGTGAACGAACCGAACGAAATTGGAAAGCTCACTACTAATAAAAACAAATTTATCGTGATCATAGTTATTAATTGATCTGAAAACAAATTAGCCTGATCAACAAGGGGAAATTACCACCTATATGAGAGAGTTATACGAGACATATCCTTTACCTACAGCATTCAAGCATGGAAACAATAAAACGATAAAATGAATGTCGACATTTCAGTGAAGAACATATTCTCTCTGACAATGACATTTTCCTCAACTGTACGGTCGTAATTACACATAATTTCACCGTTTGTACTCTATGGTGAAATATAATATTCACCTATAAGTTTTTATTAATTTCATCACAAATTCAATATACGATTTTCATTTCGTTACGATGTTGAACGAATCATGTAATATGTGTGCATAATTGTTCACCCATATTACATTAACGTCACTAGTTTGAATTTAGTAGTGAAATTAGATGTCAGTGACAGATAAATGAAATTATAAAAGTCATGTCGAACAGAGAATTGATACAGATGCATTTGTATCAGATTTAGAATAACTCATATTCACTGTCGTCTGATATAGATCAACTGCTTAGGCTTAAATAGATTAATCTGTCTAGGAAGCTTACTGATCACAAATGAAACGATACATAACCTAAACGTCGTTAATGCAATTATACTTGATCTTTTCTATGCCATATATGATACGCACTTAGTAGATAAGTAATTATATAGCTATTTCTATCGAGTGATCGGACTGTTGTTAATACATTGAGTGAAAAATAGTTAAGCCGGAGTATTAAATCACTTTGTCGAGGAGATCCTAAAAAAGGTCCATGTTGGGTTCTCATTGAATGCTCGTTGATATCTACAATCAAAAGTATTGTTGTAAGATGCACTTACAGAATGCAGAACTACATATCATAACCGTAACACTCCATGCACATGTCACCCTCAATAGTCTTTGCAGAACGGACGAGATATCTGAATGCGATGCGTCTCGAAAATTTGACCCATTCATCTGAACCGTATTCAACGCTTGTAGTTTGGAACAAATAACATCCAACACA